GCGAGCACCGTCGCAGCCCGGAGGAGCGGAGGAAGTCGCGTAAACACGCGAGCTTGCGCTGCGCGAGTCGCGGTCCTTGTGGAACGACGTGCGCGACGTCGAGTTTCTGCGTCGAGGTCTGCGTTGAGGATGACGCGTCCGCGCGTCGAATGATCGCCGCCGAGCTTCCGGAAGAAACGGTTCGTGTTCACGCGTGAACCGGAAGCGCAAGGCTGCACCCGCCAGTAGACAGGATCATTCGTGAAAATTCCATCGGAGTGGGTTTGCGTTTCGCGAGAAAGTTCTTCCAAGAGAGAAGAAAAACAAGTGAGAAGAGGAAGAAGAAAAGTAATAACAGTAGAAGAAACAGAACTCGGAGCGTTTCTAATACGGAAGTTGCGCAATATCTCTACGTAAGAAAGCCAGAGAGAGAGAGAGAGAGAGAGAGAGAGAGAGAGAGAGAGAGAGAGAGAGAGAGGGAGAGAGAGAGAGAGAGAGAGAGGAGAGAGAGAGAGAGAGGAACGCGGGAGGGTGCACAGAGGAGCCGTGCAAGAGGGGATTCCTACGGGATGTCCTTGAGATCCCCGCGGAGCGGGCGATGTGATAATAGCTTCGCCGACGTGAGCCCGCGCACGGCGGGATGCGACCTCGCGAGGTAAAGCCCGCGGCAACGCGCTGATCTCTTCGCTACTCTCCCTCTTTCTCTCTCTTCAGGGACTCGCGCATACGGAATTCAGTCGCACGTGTGCGACAACGACGAGAAGCGTCGGCGTGCCGGCGCGGCTGGACGATGGCAACATCGTCGTTGGGTACCTGGATCCTCTCCTCCACCCGCACCTGCGGTCCGCTCCAGGCTGATTTCCGCCGCGGAATGACTTCCGGTGACTCGAGGACAGGTCGCTCGCGGCTCGCGACCGACTGACTCCGGCCTGCGAACAAGGACGGGGTGACGGAGGGAGAGAAATTTGCTTTAATGATTATATCGCGTGGAGAATATATTCGACGAGACGAGGCAGAAATCAAAGATAAGTAGTGAGCGAGAATATATTTGAGGAGCAGAAACACAGATTGGATAAAGACTGAAATAATATACATATATTAAAAAGAGAAAGAGAGAAGAGAAAAAATTATATATATATATATATATAAATATATATAGAGGGAGAGAGAAGTTAGATACATATATGAATATATACGCAAGAACCGAGTGAGGGAGGGTGAGCGGCGGTAAAGTTTTGAGCGCATTTTTCCGCGCGGGAGACGGAAAAATCGATGGCTTCGAGGGGGCAGCCATAGCAATGCATACGCAAGCGGTGAAATCAGCTGGCGAGCAGCGAGAAGTGGGAGGATCATCGTTCACAGAGGATATCTATATATATAACTAAATACACTATACATACATACGCGCGCGCGCGCGCGCCCACACACACACACACACACAAAAGCAGACATACACGTACATACACCATACATCCATACACCCACACTCGTGCACACTTACACACATACGTTGAGAAAGAGAGTATTTTTCTACGGAGAGTTCATTTCTATCGCGTGTTTGCGAAAAAGAGAGAAAAAAGAGAGAATAATCTGTATATATATATATCATCTACCCTGACCCGCACTTGACAAGACGGAAATTGAAGAGACGTCGGCCACGAGCGAGGGGTTATTCGTCCAGAATCGTCAATGGCGATCTCCGTGCGTAAAAAACGTACCTGCGGAAGCCCTCGCGCCGACGAGCTCCGGGCGCCGTCGTGCTTCTCCTTCGGAAGTCTACCACTTGGAATTCTCGAGATAGTTTAGCAGGCAGATTAGCCCGTAGGATTAACGCTACCGGCGGAAAAGGAATTTGGCGTATCCGCCTGAGCGCGGGAGGGTGCGATTGATCTCAATAGTGCAAAGGACGTTTGCCTTAAACAGAGAGGACCTCACTGACAAATCGCGAAGGGTGTTGCATGCGTGCGCACGCACAACAGGAACCCGGCGAACCCCACACACGTCCTCGGGGTTTCCGCTGCTCGCGGGAATCCACGATTTGAACCGACAAGCGTCAAGTGTTCACAGCGTGCACCCCCTCGTGAGCGCCAGACGCGCTTCAGCACGAACTCTGATCTGAGCGAGTGGTCGGTGCGTATGATCGCGACGGCAAGATTTCCACGAGAATAACGAATTCACCGACGATTCGAACCTGCTGATTCTCCTGAGAACAACCGAGAACAACCCCGAGACGCAAACGCCCTACCTACCACCATCAATACCACCAGCATCGAGCTTATCACGCATCGCGACATCGACAATCGACCGTTCGTGAATATCTCTGTCACCGAGCCACGTGGGGTATCCTCTTCTGCCGTCCGCGAGACAATAAAAATGACACCGTCGGAGGAGGAACGAGACAACAACGCCGCGGCCGTCGGCGATGCCGCCAACCTGCCCTCTAATCGGGTAGCTGAGGATTCCGTGTCACGGCCAACCTTCCCCTAGAGAGGGAGCACGCTGCCGCTAGCCGTGTCTCTCTCTCTCTCTCTCTCTCTCTCACACACACACACACACTCTCTCTAGTTCGCTCGCCCGCCCAGTCACCGCCACCGACGAATAATGGTAGAGCCGAGATGGTCGATCAAGTGTACGAATAGCTACCTGGACCTGCTGGACCCGAGCGACAGTTACACGGACCTGCGGACGCAGCACCGACGGCGCTGCCGGAAGTACTTTTGCCTGTGCCGGCGGCATACGATCAGTGTGATATGTATTAACGAGTCGCGCAAGCTCTACTGGTTCAACTGCCGGAACGTGCAGGAGAAGGTGAACTACGGTCTGGGCGAGGGCTACTACCACAAGCTACTGCGGCTGGTGAACGGCGCGCTGAGCGCCTGGGCGCAGCGCTACATCGACGGCCTGAGCGTGGCGCGTCGCGAGATTATGTTGAAGATCAACGGTAGCGCGCACAACAACATGAAGCTGCTCCAGGAAGGCTGCTACTGCCATTATCATCCGCACATGACGGCGGACGCGTGCAACGCCGACTTTCTCAGAAGAGTCGTAAGTTTCTGGGCCGGTGAGAGCCTCAGGGGAATACGCGAGAGGCTCCGCGGCATGACGAATATTACGAAAAAGGTAGAGACACTCACTCGCGAATCTCTTGTTCTATACTTGAGATGGAGATGTTTCTCTCTTGATATATTTACATTGTATTGTATGCCCCTTGAGTATCTCTCCGTTCGTTTATTTGTTCTTTGTTTTTGGGTCTTTCTCTCTCTGTCGTCTGTTCGCTCTTTCTCTCTCTCTCTCTCTCTCTCTCTCTCTCTCTCTCTCTCTCTCTCTCTCTCTCTCTCTCTTCTCCGCCACGCTCGACGCCCGCCACCACGTCCGCCGCCACGACGACGGTCGCAACACGCAGAAAACTTGCTCGTATTTGGCATGCGCTTCGAGCAGAGGCCGCCGAGGCTCTGTGAGAAAAGATTTCTCTGTAGAGAAAAGATACGAAAGGCTCCCAAGTTCTGTGCGCCCGTTTCGTTCCCGTCGGAAACTTTCGTTCGTCGACCTCCCCGGTCGTAGCTACGGCTACGAGGACGACTCTGCTATTACTATTACTACTACTACTACTACTACTACTACTACTACTACTACTACTACTACTACTACTACTACTACTACTACTATCTTTACTACCACTTTATCTCTCTCTCTCACCACTGCTGTATCATCTACTACTAATACTTACTACCGAATATCGCACGCGAATCATTCTCGCCATTCGAGATAGCATCTCATTTTCATTCGCTATCGACAGGCATCACAGGTGTGCGCGCAGACTGCTCCGACAGCTCCGAGACGCGCACGCTCCCGCGGAAAACACGCGATACCGCGGGAAACGAGTATCTATTTTTGCACGAATCAGGAATTGTACCGTGTGAAATTCCAAACGCGGCGAGATGCGCGAAGGTCGCGTGAAAGAAAAAATAAAAGGAGAAAGAGATAATGAATAGAATGACGAGGGACGATCGGACGAACGGCGAAAGCAGCGGAGAAAGCACCACCGTTGTAGACGAAGCACGTTGCCTCTGCCACGTGATTTTTCGTTTTTTTTTTTTCTTTGTTTTTTCACATGATAAAGTAGAGAATTCCGTTGTGACCCGATATATCTTGGCATGTGCGCTCGTGCGCTGACGTTGGCTCTCGAGAAACCGGCGTGATTTATTCCGCGCGAAGAAACACGGGCTTTTGAGCTGAAGTTGCATATATCGATATTATATAGCTGCCGTCTTTAACTAGCATGCGCTCTCACAGCCGTAACTACGATTCCTTTGCATTTTTATCCGCCGATTGCGATGCGAACGTGCCCTTGACTTGGCGTCTTTACTTTGTTGTGCAACAGACTCTCTAGTGACCTCTAGTATAGTTTTGTACGATTGAACTGACGAATAAAATTGTCTCTTATCAGTATATATGTATATATATATATCCGTATATGTCCTCGACAAAATCAACAAACAAATGCCACGTAGTTGCGATGAAATCGTGTCAAATGATATTCTCGACAAGTTTCGCGAAAACAGATCGGACAGCGGACATATCGCATTTGGTACTGCAAACATATCGATCGAGCGACCGATAATATTGCAATTCCTCAATGTGCACTTTTAGATAGACCAGGCACTTCCACCTTCTCTTTTTCTCTCACTCCTTGTTCTCTTGCGATCGATTGTGTACGTAAAGCATCTTGCCATTGTCAGTAATCCGTTAGATTAGAACGTCGTCGGTATCATTCTATTTCACGATGTGATCGCACCATGTTTTCTCTCTCTCTCTCTCTCTCTCTCTCTCTCTCTCTCTCTCTCTCTCTCTCTCACTCTCCAAGCACCTTTGTCTCTCCATAAATGCATCATCCACTTTCTCTCTTTTGCTATCTATTCGATAATACGATACTTATTCGTCTCGATTCTCGCAGCGCGATCTCGCATAAGCGCGCGCGACGCATTTGTCGCGAGTAACAACTAAGACTGACCATTTTGCAGATGTCGGACGACGACAGGATGTCGCTCACTACCGCCGTAAGCGACGACGACGACGGCGAGAGTGTGATAAATTCGCCCTATCGAGGAAAGCAGACCGGCACGGCCGCAGCTTCCTTCAACTGCACCGGTGCAGTTCGAAAGGCAGGGTACGCTATGGCCGCTCTCGTGTACTTCGTTCTTTAAAAATAACGCACCTTGAGACCCCGTATAAATATCTCTCCGCGAGAGATCGTGTTCCGATAAATACGAAGGCTGCAGGCGAGAGAGAGGCGGCCTCTGCCGCATCTCCCATGTTTCGTGATATCCCCCGGATTGCAATCGCTGCGATTACGCACCCAGCAATTAACGAACGAAATTAACGGGAAGAAGATCGCATTTACGAGTATTATTTAGCGGCGCACTTTGAAGTCACCGAAAGAACGAAGCCGGAACACGACGACGATGCGATCAATACGGAGGGCGGTCTCGTTCGCGTGATTTTTTATTTCTTTCTCGATAATCTAAATGCCCTGACAACGAACTGGAATAATCCCAAGGGGGGGATGTCTCGGGATTCCCAGATTCCTCAGCGTGAAGAAGTGGTTACTGCGCAAGAAGCATCAGATCGAGCTGGCCAGGAAGAGAGGCTGGAAGGGTTACTGGGTTTGCCTGAAGGGCACTACGCTTCTCTTCTACCCGTGCGAGTCCCAGGAGAGCCGTGCCATGGAGGCGGCACCGAAACACCTGATCATCGTCGACGGCGCGATCATGCAGCCCATCCCCGAGCACCCCAAACGGGACTATATATTCTGCCTGAGCACGGCGTTCGGGGACGCGTATCTCTTCCAGGTGAGGCCGTCGTAGCTCACAATCTCTATGAAATCACACCGGGCAAATCGAACTCTCGCGGAAAGGTGAAAGGTGAAAGGCGGAGCAAGCAGTCGTCAATCGACTCGAAGCTCTCGCATGTCAGCAAGTCGGCTTCTCAATTAGCACTTGAATATCATCGCAAATAATACGCCAATTAAACTTCAAGTTAGACCGCGGTGTAAAGTACACGGCGAATTATCGGGAAGCGAGGGGGGCGGTATAATTATTTCGGCTCGGTTTCATCGCCTGCGCTCCCCCACCCCCCTCTCTTTCCTGCCTCCTCCTGCTCACCAATCGGTGCATTAACCGCGCCAGGATCGCCGACTCAACTGGTTGTATTTAATTAAAGTCCTCGTCTTATGCACGGACTGTAGCTCGGTAGCTCGGTATCTCGGCCGCGCGATACGGCCAACTTTTGATGACTAGAAACTAGAAACGCGCGGATCCCTCTATTCTTTCTGAGCGATCGCGCATTGTCATTCTTCGCTCGGTGACCTTTGTCATCGGCGACCAATGCGATTCATCTACATGCGCTGCATAATGTATGAGCATATGGTACATCACCCCATTATGCGATGTTCTACGACGTCCAGCCAATCGAAATGTCTAGGTCCAGATCCAGCTGCGGCCACCGCAGGGTCCTGCTGCAGTCATCGGCCAGTCATCGGGCTCCCACAGTCGCATTTCACTCACTTTAGTTCACTTCACTGCACCGCAGCTCGATAATATCGAGCGCGATAATATCGTGCGACGTTCGAAAGATATCGGACGAAAGAGCACGTGATAAATTGTAGCGTTTCGGGAATCGCGAATGTACTGGCGAATCGCGTGTGAAAAATAGCGAATCGAAGATAACGACGTTTTTCCGCGGTAAAGTCGGGAAAGAGGAAAGGAAATATTTAGTTTCGCGAGAATTGTAACTATTAATCGCGATTTTAAACTATGCCCTCAATTTTCATTGGCATATCATTGAAATTTGTTACGCGCGCAAAAATGTGCAAAATTGATGATCGCGACGACTAGAAAATTTATCACGAGCCAAATAATCGCGAATTCCGCGTGTGGTAGCGCAATTTTCGTACGCAAACTCTGGCACGCAAGTTCTGACGCGCTTTTTAAGCTGCTTGAAATAATTAGGGGATTATATCGTATAAATAATTCTGCTCGGAAATTTTGTATCTTGAATAAAAAGAATCTAATAAAAATACTTAAAATCTGTAAGAAACGAGCATTGAAGATTTATATTGGAATATTTCTTTAATGTATCTGTGGTATATAAAATAATTATTTGAAAAAAAAATCCCCTGATAATGTTTCAAGCAGTATATTTCAGTGAACAGCACAAACACACGCAAATCCCTACACTGAGAGAAAAAAGTCTTTGGTGTACTTGCGAGTATTCTCGCATCTAAAGTAGTTGTAAATCGGCGAGTCCATTTTCATAGCAAGTAGTTTTTCTTAAAACAGGAAAAGAATGTAACTAATCCCTGACTGAAAACGACTATAATTTGCAACGGGCCCAATTATCTTTTCTCTCAATGTACATTGCAGAAGTTTGCAATTTAGACAAATCGCATTGATTTTTGCATAATGATCAACCGCCAATAAACTCACCACCGTAAATCTTTCTTTCCAACTCACCGAAACCAGAAGCTCAGGATCGGCCACATTCTGCTACAAATCTGAAACAAAGAATATAACACCGCTGATTCGATACGTCGATCAATTGCTCAACGAGAAAAATACGTGGCTACGCAATCATGTCAAATATTTCTGATCGTCTGGATTTAACAATTTTTGTCCAGACAACTATGAAGAATCCAATTCAAGAGTACTTGAAAATATAATCTTACCTTCGAGCCGATCTTGCTTGGCCCGAACCGAATCTTCCGGCATCCGAAACTGCATCGCACTGCCAGGAATCGCACATCCACCTTGCGCCCATTAAATTTAAAACAAAAAGCGAGTTTTGCTAGTTAGTTACACCGACAAACGTCTGCGTCATCAGGTTCGGTCATCCGTTTACAAAATCAAGTTCTTTTTCAAACCGATAAAAATTGCACAACACGATGTTAGTGCTATAATTACGCGCGTGAAATAATATAATACGCGTCTCACATGCCGTTTACGGTTCGGAAAATTCTGGTTGTCACGCGAGACGTCTTTCGATTTGTATATCCGCGCAAGGACTGACTGCCGCTCGGCAGTTCCGTGCGTCTGTATGTTATTGTTCTCAGAGTCACGTGACGTCCAGCCAATAAGACAGACTTTAGAGGACACTGTTATTTATTTGTTGATTTAAACGTTCCGTGCCGGAATTTCAGCATTGTATATTATTTTACGATATTTTTTATTTCCCCTTCCCCTCCGTTCAAATTGTCAAAATACAAAATTCTTGTCGGCAATGGCATCAATAATAATAATGGCATAAATAATAAAAACAATAATAACAATAATAATAACTATGATAATAATAATAATTTCCCGCCCGCTATAACTTTCAAAGTAAATATCGACAACTCATGTCGAGATCGAGATAGCCAATCGGGAAGTCGCGAGAAAGAGGCAACGATGAGCCAAAAATATCTCCTTCAAGATACAAGATTCACGAGTTTTGTTGAACAAATCGAGCTCGCAGATTATAAATAAACTCGAGAATACGAAAATGCATATTATCGCGTATTTCGCGACGATCGATCGCTTCGAATCCTTCAGGTCGCCTCAGGACGAGAAGAAACGTGGCGATCGTTTTGCGTGTTGTCCTATTTGCAGGCGCCGTGTCAGGTGGAGCTGGAGAATTGGGTGAACAGCATTCATTCGGCATGCGCCGCTGCGTTCGCGCGCCATCGCGGCAAGACCGGCACGCTGCATTTGCTGCAGGAGGAGATCATCCGTCTGGAGAAAGCGATTGAATCGGTACGTGTATCGTAAAGGAACTTCATTCGCGCGCGCACGCGGTCGACGCGCGATCCTGGGACCACCACCTCGGCTCGATTTTCTAACAGCCGTAGACGAGGCGAGACACCTTGTCGCGCCGCGTCGACCTTGCCTCCAACTATTGGGCTGGCAACTAAGTGATTGCGGATTTTGTCGACAGATGGATTTTACACTTTCTTTTGTTTCGTTAACGTGTTCAAAGTACCTAACCTATATTTTTTTCTTATTGTTTGGACTTCTACCTTTCATTTAGTACAAAAATTATATCGATTAGTTCTTTAGTTTTGTTTTTATCCCAATTTAAAAATGGAAGAGCAAGACGTGCACTTCAGACATATTTTATTGTGTTATTTCCGAAAAGGCAAGAACGCATCGCAAGCACACAAGAAGTTATGTGCCGTATATGGGAATGAAGCCTTGAAAGAAAGGCAGTGTCAAAATTAGTTTGCCAGATTTCGTTCTGGTGATTTTTCATTGAAAAATGCTCAACGATCTGGCCGCCCAGTTGAAGTCGATGAGACCCATATCAAGGCCATTATCGATTCAGATCGTCATAGCACAACACGTGATATTGCAGAGAAGCTCAATGTATCGCATACATGCATTGAAAAAAATTTAAAAAAGCAAATTAAAAATTTTGAATTTTCATTCTTATTTAAAATCCGCAATCACTTAGTTGCCAACCCAATAATTCCTTCGAATCGCGAAGAAGCTTTTCCTCGTCACAGACACACACACGGCGGATCCGATCGGATCCGATCCGCGGACGGCGTGTTCGTGACGACGGTAAAACGAGCCAGTAATCGATACCGGTATACACACCGGATGCCCGCAGGACTACAAAATGAAACACATGGCGGACCTTCAGCAATCGGTGGTTTCCGATGTCGACACCAAGCAGCAAATTAACAATCAAATCGTGCAGTGGGAGGAGAATTTGGAGCGGCTGCACTGCGAGCAATTCCGCTTGCGGTGTTACATGGCCAGTTTGCAGAGCGGCGAGCTGCCCAATCCGAAGGTGAGTGGCGTCTGTTTGAACGACGAAAGTCGGCGCGACATAAGGAGCGCATTGCCGCGTCCGGCGATCATCGCACGAGTGTGCGAAATCTTTTCGGCCGCGGGAAATACCGCTTCGGATACTTTCGTCAACTTGGTAACACACAGACGACGTACGCTTGTAACTTTCAACGCGGACGTCGTTAAGCGTCGTTTTGCATGCAGCTATTATGGGATGTGTGACAATGATAGCGCATGCGTTAAAACGCTGCGGGATTAGCCTGTTGCTTTCGATGCGGTTTGGATGGACGCAGTTTGGTCGCACAGCCGACGATCTCTCGTGAGAGAACTTGCTTCCTTTATTTATTCATTATTTATCTATATTCGTATATTTGTATGAGGTGAAGAGCAGCGAAGAGCTAGATTTCCTAAAGGTCAGTTCTCTCATCGACGGACTCACTTCGAACCAGACGGCGCGCGGGCGTCGAGAAGAAAATTTCCAGACTACGTTGGAGACAAGCTGTACTCTGCGGTGGTCGGAGCCAAGGAGCTTCCGATCAAGCCACGCTGGAGACGCGTCCGATGCGTCTCCAGCTTTCCCGCCGGAAAGCGCGGAAAAGCCGCGCGTCCTCTCGGCAAACGACGTTACGCGCCGCAATCTCGACGTATTGTCCCGGCCGCGGCGGGTCGCCGCGGATTGTCTGAAAAATCGTCTCCCTCGCGCGCGCGGCCGGCGCGCGATCAGGGATTCATTAGGGATCCATCTGCATCCGTAGCGAGCATCTGATTTGCGCCATTCGCCGCTGCTGCAACGGGGCGATATCGATCGTCGGACGGATGGGTGGGCGGATGGGTGAGGAGGCGCATGAGAGGGTGAGAACAAGAGGCTCCGATAAATCGACGTTCTCGCGATCGCGAGGACGTCGAAGGTCTCGGCTCGGTAGCTCCAGCTCCGCGAGATAGCGAGACTGAGAATTAATGCGCGACGTCTCATCGCGAGAGGACGATATTTCAGCGCCGCTGAAAGAACGAGACAGGGAGAGACAGGGCGTTCGCTCTATTTCCCTCCGCGATCATTCAAGGCCACCGACGACGAGAGGTCGAGCGACGACGTTAAACGCGCCGCGTTTCTCGCTTCTTGTCCTTCAGAGTCTACTGACGCACGTGTCGCGCGCCACGAAGCAGACGCTGAACAAGCTCGGCGTATTCACCGTGTCGTCCTTCCACGCGTTCATCTGCGCGCGTAGTCCATCCTTGCTGAACAACCTGCTGGCGGGCCGCGGGGCGACCAAGCGGAGGCCGCCGCTTCTGTCGAGGTCGAACAGCGGCTCGAGCAGACGCTCCCTGCAGATCTCGTCCAGGGACGAGGAGAAGAGCGTGAAGGTGTCCGTGCCGGAAAATCAGGTACGATCGGCACATCGGGTGAGTAGAGACTGAGATACCGTTAGCGTTACGTGACGCTTTAGAGCACCCGATAAGTACGTGTCAAACGACCCGGTGTATTTTCCCGCTCGCTGTTGCAGCTCGTGTCGGTGTTCCTGCGCGACGCGATGACCGTGGAGGAGTTCTTGGCGAGCGCGTGCACCAGGAAGAGCCTCAACCCGATGGAACACTTTGTGCGCGTGAAGAAGCGCCGGGACATGGAGGACCACAACTACTTTGTGCCACATAGGACTGATTTGATAGAAACATATGTAAGTAACGACACCGCGGAGATCGCAGGGAGTGTGGTGGCGTGACGTTATCATCGCTTCACACGCGTTTACGCAACAATTACAGTAATCATCAGATTACATCAAGTTTAACAGGAATTGCGGGAGAGTCGAGAAAATGATTAGAGACAACGAGTTTCCAGGCTTGCGCAAGGGAGGAGTCTGGAAGTGCCTGTTCAGTGTAAAGAGAGTGTCACGTCGAATTCAACTGTGTATGTAATAAAATTACTTTGCGCGGTTCTATTTTTAGGATACGAACTGCGAACGCGCGGCGCTATAAGTGGCTGCAGACCCGCTACGTCTGTCTGACCGCGGCGTGTCCGCGTCTACTTGGAGCGCGGCGTGTACTTGCGACTCGTATACTGCAAATATAGCCTTAAAAAATAATTTTGTTACATATCCGATTTGTTATATTATTCGTTTGATTAGATCTGGCATAAAATTATCTTTGACTTTTCTTTTTAAACGAATATTAATATCTCTTAAAATTGCAACGAGAAACGAAGGCATGTTGACAAATATAAAATTTTTGAAAAATCTAAACGTACAGTCACAAAGTATACCATACATCCAAACATCCTCTTTCGTTGGTGTTGATTAGACCTCTCGCGATGTTGAATTAATCAACGACATAACTCCGCTCTGTGTTTCGCTTTGCGCGCAGTTGCATACGCACGAAATCGTGGAAGTCTGTGCCAAGATTTTATATCAAGTGGAATTGCAAAGAAACACTTTAGAGCAAATGTGGGGCTTCTCCGTCGAGGCGGAGCTCATAGAAAACTCCGACAGGCAGGACGAGCTCTGCTGCTACGTTAGTAGAGTGGAAGACAAGAGCGTCGCCATGCAAAACGGTAAGCATCCCTTATCTAGGACGACGCGCAACTAAAATAAACGTCCCTCGCGCGTGACTACAAGTTTTCGATCGTTACAAGGTTTTTTTCTCCTCACTATTTATTCACGATTCTATTTTCGCTTTCATTATCTCTCTCAAACACTATTGACATTTTGCGCAAACGATTAACCGTTCTCGTTAACTTCGAGGTAATAACGTATCGGTTGCACGCATCGGGTAGTTTGTTCCTCTGTTCTTGTCACTGCGTGCAAAAAGCTGTACGGATAAATTTCACGGTAAACCCAATACGATGGATTTGCGTCCGACAGGACACTCAATGCCGAGACAGATTGAAGCGGAAAATAGAAAATAGATACCGCGATGCGGAATTACGATATCGGCCAGCCATTGCCCGCTCGCTCGCGAATAACGTCTTGCGGATCTCGAAAGGCGAGATCCGCCACGAGGTCTCGCAGCCGGCCGTATTAATTTTTTAGACCGTGTCAGCGCCAGGACGCGCAAGGACGCCATTGAAAAGTCATCGATTTTCCGCGCCTTGTTGCTCGCTCGTTGAGCAAAGTCTCGTGCTCACGCTTAAATGAAGCACGCGTAATGTGCATAAAAAAAGATATATATGTGTATGTGTGTGTGTGTGTGTGAACATACACATATACGTGTATATATTAATTTTATATATGCGTGTATCACGCAGGGCGGGCGGGGGTGGAGGGTGGGAAGGCCTTAGAGCCGCAGGCGCGAACAAATCAACATGGTATTTAGCGCCGCCATTCCGCGTGTGATGACTAAATTTACCTGGCGGCTCGCTCGTTGAGCACGTTAAGCCTGGCCGAAGGAGCGACTTTGATTATAGTTGCGAAAGATACCGAGCCGAGCGGTTGGTGTTCGTCTTCGTCAACAGTTTCCACAGACGCGTGCGATGTCGTTGAAACTTGACATTGAGAAAGTTACCTCCAAGTTACACGCGAAGAGAGCACGGTACGATCTTGCTTCTTTTTTCCCTCTCGGACACGTTCCAGCCGATCGTAGAATCGTCCACGTTAAAGCTCAGCGATCGCACAGTGTGCATCGATGCGCATCGGTAAAGCCACGCAAACAATCGTCGATCGCGCTTGCCTCCTTCAATTACCTCGATCTGACGTTGTTATTCGAGCGGCGAGCACTTGTTCGAACAAGCGTACGAAAGTTCCTCCTCTTTTTCCCAACCCGCTCATCCGACGAGAGGCTTCTCACGAGAGTGCTCATTGTCGCCCGGCGCGACTCGTCTCTTGCAGGAATCATTAAGGGCGACGAGATTATGGTAATCAACGGCGCCATCGTGAGCGACTTGGATATGATGTACTTGGAGAGCGTCCTGCAGGAGGAGGTGGGTCTCTGTATGATGATGCGATCCTCCAGGACGGAGCCTCCGGATCTCACGGGCATTATGCGAGTCACCGACGACATAATCGAGAGCTTAGTCTGCCCGCCGCCGCCCTCCGACCCGCCGGTCATCAGCGAGGAAATGATCTCCGGTCTGATCGTGCCAGCTCCCGGCTGGAGTGAGTGTTTACGTTTTCCTTCTTTCTCCTCATTTCTCCTGCTTCCCGCGTGCATTTCGCGTAATTCTTCACCGACTCGATGTCGAGGATCGAAATCTCTCATCTCGCGGAACTCGCGATATGATCGCAGGCAAGGAGAACATCATGCAGGAGTGCACGTCGAGCGGTCACATGGACAACAGCAAACAGACCTCGCGCACGAACTCCTTCGAGATCGAAAACCTTCTGAAGACTGCCGAGCAAGTGACGGGGATCTGCCGGTCGCCCGGTGAGACCCGGAAGTCGAGTCCCACCGGGAGCGTCGTCAGCTCCCACTCGCAAGCGCTCACACCGAGCCGGCAGCTTAGCGACGCTGAGAAGCTGAAGAAAGTGATTTTAGAACTGATTGAGACTGAACGGACTTACGTAAAGGTAAGCGAGCGTCCGTTCTCGACCGCTCATCGACCGTCACACATCCGACGTTGCCCGATGACGGGATGACTCGTAACGCGCTCGTTTACTTCCCGCTCTCTCGTCCTTCCAGAATTTAAATAATCTGCTGGAGAACTACTTGGAACCCCTTAAACGCGAGACCTTCCTGTCGAACGCGGAGATCAACGCGTTGTTTGGTAATATTCAGGAGATCGTCACGTTTCAACGACAGTTCCTGCAGAATCTCGATCACGCCATCGAGATGGAGGCCCATTTCAACAGCTTTGACCATCCGAGTCAATTTAAGGTGTGTGCCTCTCGTGCTCATCGATATCTTGGAATTTCTCGCTCGTTTTCTGCCGAACGGACACGCGAACGTATCGTGGTGAAATTATCAGATACACTCGCGACCATTTCCTCGCTTTTCTCGTGCAGAAACGATGCGCATCGTTTCTGCACGAATTACACCGATGCGATGCATTGATTGGAAAGCAATAGTTTCATCGTTGTTGCAGGGAGTCCTGTTTTCCATTGGAAGTGCCTTCTTATATTACGTAAATCACTTCAAGCTATACAGCTCGTTTTGCGCCAGTCACTCGAAGGCTCAAAAAGTTTTACATCCAAGTAAGTCTCGCCTCACTCGGCATACTCGTCCTTTTTCGCGAGAGGGAAAGAGAGAGAGAGGGAGAGAGAGAGAGATATCGGGGAAAGAGGGGTGACCTTCGTTTCCTCGTTCTCGTCAACGTATCTGATCCTTCGGCCGATCGATAATTCATTGTCAAGAATAACCGTCCAACTTCGGTCGTGGAGGGGGGGGGGAGGAGGTGGATACCAATCTGCAAATATGTGTTTCCTGGAAAGTTCCGCGATGTATTATTCACGTTAACCTTCCAGTTGCGAACTGGTGACGTTCTCGCGACTGCCGAAACGGAGACCGCGACGTTAAACATTCAGCAAGATTATTTCGCCGCTCCTGCCGCGTGTCCATTATTTCGCGGAAATCTCGTTCTGCTCCCTTCGGGACGCACCGACAAAGTACATAATTATAGCGTAGTCGCCCATTTTCAGCGACTGCTCGTAACTCTCTCTCTCTCTCTCTCTCTTGCTCTCGCTCCCTCACCAAAGTCGTTTTCCGCGTTGGCCATTACTCGGCCAACTCGACGAAGCGCGACGCAATCTCCCCGATAACGATCGCGACTAATTGACAATTTCAGACGAGGGAAATCAAGCTTTACAAGAGTTCCTGCAAGCGAGAAATCCCCGGCAGCAACACTCGTCGACCTTAGAATCGTACTTGATAAAACCTATACAAAGAATACTCAAGTATCCGTTGCTGCTGCAGCAGCTTAGGAATCTCACCGACGAACGAAGCGAAGAACACCAACACCTAATTGGTAATTAAAGGCGACGATAACGCGCGATCCCCGATAACAATGAACTGAGTGTCGTCAATCACCTAATCGCGTTCACGTGCACGTCTTACTAATTGCAGAGGCGCTCAAAGGCATGGAGAAGGTGGCGGAGCACATAAACGAGATGCAGAGAATCCACGAGGAGTACGGCGCTATTTTCGACCACCTGTTCAGGCAACACCAAAAGTCCTGCAAACAGGTGAGCCGTTCGCGACGAGTGGCGGACGCGTGTTGCGCGAATTATTCCGCGCAAATTTACTTTCGGAGAACCCGTTAATGTGCGCGATAATAATAATAATAATAATAATAATAATAATAATAATAATGATAATGATGATAATGATAATGATAATGATAATGATAATTATTATTATTATTATTATTATTATTATTATTATTATTATCATTACATTACTGCTTCATCGAGTATCTGTTTATACTTGCTAGTTGCACAATGTCGACGCGTATAATTCAAACGGATATTTCCGCGCGAAATAACCAATCCCGTTGTCGTCAGTTGCGCGTTAATTGGACGACTTTACTCACGCGTTAATCTGCCGACAGCCGATCGACTTGAGCCCGGGCGATCTTTTGTATTACGGCGGTGTCGAGTGGCTCAATATCTCCGACTTCCTCGGCAAGATCAAGAAGGGTCTCGAGCTGCACGCGATGTGCTTCGTGTTTAAATCGGCCGTCGTGTTCCTGTGCAAGGAGAGACTGAGGCAGAAGAAGAAACTCATGGTGAGCATTCGCGCGTTATACCGCATCACCGGAGGAAGAGAGAGGAGGGTGATCGCGACGACACTCAAGAGTTTCCTCCTCTGCTTTGCGCTCCTCAGGGTGTCTCGACCAAGGCCAACTCCAGCGAGGTGGAGATTATCCGTTACCAGGTGCTGATCCCGGTAACAGAGGTCCAAGTCAGAGCCAGCTCGGCCAAGGACATGGAGTCCCACTTCCTGTGGGAACTGATTCATCTGAGAAGTCAATTACAGAGGAGATCGGAGAAAGTATACGTGCTGTCCAACAGGTACTTCCCGGGCGCTCGGATCGTGCTTTAGAGCGAGTCCGATCGGCTCGTTATCGCCGAACGAAAAATCCCCATGCTTTTTTTCGCGAGCCTAACGGCAGATTCCTTCAAAATCGCGTTAACGTCGCGTTAAAATCGCAGAGTCGTTCGCGCTGCGAGTGTTGCATGAGATTCGCTCTGTCCGCAGATACCTTCCGATTTGTCCGACACAGCGAGAAACATACTCATCGATGATCGGGATGCGACATTATAGCGTGTTGAAACAAATTGACCCCGATTCGCGCGGCGATCGATCGGTGGTCGATGCGTGTCTGATTGCCATTGATTACGTGGCTAACATCATTTTATCGCGGCCCCATCATCCACCGGGTGTGAAAATTGACGAGTCTCGGAAACAAATTGCAAATAAATCTGATTACCCGTTGTTTAACTCGCGATCGAGTTTACTTTAATCGAATTTTCCTCGCCCTCTCGGCGTTCCGCCATACTTTTCGCATTCTTCTCGAGGCAACACGAAATATCGATCCGACGGTTTTTCCCGCGAATTTCCATCGCTAATGTCAATCATGAACAGCACTATTTAGACCAAGGCTCTGTCCGTTCGTTCGTTCGTTCGTTCGTTCGTTCGTTCGCTCGCTTGCTCGTTCGCTCGTTCGTTCATTTGTTTGACTCTCGGTAAACTTTTATTAACACGTTGACTGCCACAGGGATCATGAGTGATGTCGGCGCTGTAATGTTATCGCTTCTCATTAATTCACCTACGAAACGTAATTACAAAATTGCACATGACAAATTAATTATATATATTCATATAGCTGGTAGAAAGCTAATATGAACGAGTTAAGAAAATACATGCAGCGTCTTTTACACTTATAATATTTATCTGTGACGATTCAAATTTCGACTATTGAAAAGATGAATAATCGATCAAATCAATAAAGCAATCAGGAACATTCAATGATTAATCAAACGTGGCGGCGTCAACGTGTTAATAATAAAGACGGTTCAGCGATCGCGCGTCGTCGTGCTAAATCGCCGGCGCTTTTCCCATGCTTGCAGCACAACGGAATTTCGCAACGCGTTCCTCAAGACGATCCGGCAGATCATCCGGGAGTCGGTGAGAAACATGAGCATACCTTCGACGAAGCAGAACCTGAGCCAGGCGCCGATGTCGATGGCGCCGCGCATGTCGACCGGCCACGTGGAGAAGTTCGACAAGCAGGTCGGCCAAGGCCAGGGCCAGGGCCAAAACGGGAACGGTGTGGCGATGCCGACCGGCACTCTCTCGAAGAAGGCGGTGAAGCAGCAGCTGTTGGCCAGCTCGCACAAGCGGAAGTACAGCCAGTCCAAGCAGCCGGTGGAGCACGAGAGCTCGGAAGACAAGGACCAGGAAGAGCCACCGGTCGTCCAGCAGCAAACCACGTTTCGCTCCAGGAGCAAAACCATCAGTGACACTTCCGGTAAGGGGCCGAGAAGCCTGCGAGAGACCGCGATCCTAGCAACAGAAAGAGAAAGACCTTCCTTGTATATATATATATATATATATATATGTAAACACCTTCGTGTGATCTGCGACTTACACGAAGCAAATAGGACTCGCCGGTCCGTTTCCTTTTTCCACTTAATTCTACGGGAAAACGAATGACGTTCGCTCGAGAGGATACGTATTTCGTAGTCCGAAGAGATACGAGTCTGCGGAGCGCGAGACGCGCGACAGTCGTCGTAAGAAAGAGAAAGCGCTGAAAACGGTATTGTTATCTTGTCGGGTTTAGGCGAGGTAAAAGTCGAAATGGATTCGGGGACGAAGTCGGAAGGTGAGGAAGACTCGCAGGCTTTTTTAGGCGAGAAGAAGACGAATCTCGGCCGCACACCTAATCATCTGACGCTGAGCACCACGTCTACTATCTCGGCGGGGAGCACTGGCAGCCAGGCTAGATTGATCCAGTCCTCTCATCAGCCCGAGAACTATCAGCCCATTACCGTCAAGGAACTCGGTGAGTGTGCTGGTTATCGCGATATTTTTATCTAACGAGCAGTAAGTGGATTGCCGAGCTGCTATATCCGCATTAAGGCTGTTTTATCTCTCTGTGTCCACCTGCATTCGTCTGCTGTTTGTTAATCAACAGCCAACTTCTATTATTATTGCATTATCGTTGCTTGTCACTACACGCAGCCAATGATAATTTGATAGTAATAAAAGTCGCAAGGGAACAAAAAGCAATTGCAACGTTCGATAAAATTATCGCTACGAGTCTCGCGCGACTTTCGATTCATCTTTCCTTCCGACTTCGTCTTTACGACTAGCATTTAGCACTGCACTGAATGTGTCGCTGATGACGGATAGCCGTCTGCCGTACGAGTGGATTCATTGTTAAACTTGCGAATGTGTATATGTGTGTGTATATTTTTACTACGACATTTCTGTACGCCCTCGCAATTCTTTTTTTTTCCTCTAAATACCACAAGCGGCGGGAGATCGATCTCTAACGCGTCACGATGTCCTCTCCCCGCAGGTTCACCAATCTGGAAGCCACGGGAGCTACCCTCTCTCGGGGAGGCCACCACGTTGCCGCGCAAGGGTAAGTCGGCCAGCGAGTTCGCGGACATGAGCTCGAGCCACAGCGCCTCCCGAAAGTCTCTAATAGAAATCAACAATTGTGCTCAACAACCTAACTTTAATAATCACGTTTAAGTTGAATAATATCGAGGCTGACTCGCTAACGAGGTAAAAATATCGTTAAGTTCCGCCACCACACAACAACAACAACAACAACAACAACAACAACAACAACAACAACCACAACAACAACAACAACAACCACAACCATCACCAACACCACCGTCACCATTACCAGAAAAGCACCACAATTAAACGCCACCACCAACACTACCACCACCACCAACACCATCACCATTACCATCACCATCACAACCACTGAACGAAACACACAGAGATAATTGTCCGATAATTACGATTATCACGATGCCGATACGCGAGACGCGCGTCCGCCGCCCGCGCGGAAATTCGCCAAGACTGCACTTTCTCCCTTCGCTCTCTTCCTCGTTTTCGTCTTCCGACGGGAACCACCCCGTGCGAGCTTACGCGCACTTGTATGTGTGAGTTTGCGTGTGTGTATGTGTGTGTGTGTGTATGTGTTGTATGTGTGCTTGTTCAAGAGCCAACAGCGAGAAGCTCGAGCGAACTTTCACCTAATTGTCTGCGAATAGTTTTCGATGAGAAGCAAACAGAAACAGTGACTCTCTCGCCCCGTTTGAAGCTGATAAAAGCGTCTAATGTGTATCCAACGGGAGAATAATATTTCGCAGCATGGAGAAGCCTTGATTTGACGCCAATGAAAGGAGAACATATATAAATCCATAAATAATTTCCGCTCTAATCGCAATTTAGTCGAGACGGTTATTTTCCTCCCGTTGGATATTTATTAGATTGTCAGCAATCCTAAACCGTGTGTGCTAATGCTCACATCTGCTCGGTGTCGGTTCGCTTCGTGATCTTATCGTGTCGATTACAGATATCCTTGTTCTACTCCGCGGACGTTTTGTTCGCGCGAATAGCGAAGGTTATTACCTTCCTCAGAGGTAGAAGTATATTTTATTCCGACGTTTACGCGAGAAAAAGAAGAACGTACCTTTTTCTCGGACAGAGGTAGAGAATGTCGTCGGGCTCATTAGTCGATAGTTTTGATTTTGACAATCATAGCGTGAACGATTCTGAAGGAGACGTGACACCGAGCAGATCACTGGTTTCTGAAACAGACAAACGAAAGAAATCTTTAGTGAATGATCGATCGCCGATGATCGTCGCGTCGATCGCGAGAGAATCGCCGCCGGGGGACGATGGGGAATTTCATTTCCGAGACTCGATTAGCAAATGGTGTAACCTCGTTTGCCTGAGACGCACGTCGTACGCCTCGTTTCTCACGTCATTTAATTTAATCGCCACGCGATAAAAGGAAGTGCAGTCGGTTGCACCAATCAACCCCGTCGATTAAATTTGCACTTGCTGCTCGGGACGATATTCTAATTATAAGATAGTTATTATTACCTAACACAGTTATTATTGCGTAACGTTGTTGCAGATTGCTATCTAACATGTATGTCTAATATCGACGATTGATGTACAAACCTTCCGCAAGTGCAAATTTCCCACTTCTATTTTTTATCTTATTCTTTCTTTTTAATGTTCATAATTTTTTTTTATAATTAATCTTACATTAACGTTGTGAACAGTTACACCGTCAATAAAATATTGTCGTAAAACGGATTTTTAAGTTTGTGACGCGACGCTGAAGCCGCGAAGAATCAAATGGGGGAAAGTCTGAAGTATTGTCTTAAAAATTAAAAAATTTTTGGAAAAGACACAAGAATTAAAGATAATTTTATGCTCTCTTCTCTCTAAATTCAATCGTGTGTAAAAAGATTATTTTGTGAGATTGCAGTCTTGAGGCAAGTTGTGAGAACCGCGCTCTAAGTAGTTGCAGACGCGTCTGCATCAGACCCGCGTGTCTGACCGTGACGCGTCTGCATCCACTTAGAGCACAGAATTTACGACTCGTATTTTAAGAAGGCAAGCTCAGAAAATAATTGCATTATATATGATTGAATTTGATGTAAAATTATCTGTGATATTTGTCGTTAGAAACGTATTGATATTCGCAAAAATTCGCAAAAATGAGATGTTGAAAAAATAAAAGGAAATACCGAGAACTATCAAGTTCTCGAAAGATTTCATAACCATAAAGTACATCGAATATCTTAAAATTTTGTGTAAAATATTTTCTCCGTACACTTCACGATTTCAAGGATGCTCGTTCGTAATGAAATATTATGAGACAGCATTTATAAAAAAAAAAAAAAAAAGAGAAAATACGAATCTTAGATTTGATTTATCTGTATAAATGATAGACCCGTCAAAATTAGTAATTATAGCAAGAGATACCTCCAGATTTCCCCCTTGTGAGAGAAGCGCGACTAAGGCGAGATCGAGTGATCGAGGTTATTGGTGCAACGTACCTGGGAGTTCCAGAGAGGACGGGACTAATCGTCGCCGAAACGATCCTCTTCGATATACACAATTTAACATCACTCAGCGATATGTAGCGTCGATCTTCAAATAGATCGCCGGATTACAGATCGCGATCCGGTCCCCCCTCTTTAGAGTTTCCTGTAATCGAGGCTACCTGGATCACCATCCTCACGATTCATTTCGCGTGGACGGCGGCGCGACAATCCAGAGATAATCGATACTCTGTATATAATGTAACAATGATATTATCGTCATTGTATTATCGATCACGATCGAGCGCGATGCATTGCTTCTCATCATTTCTCCTACACATCAGTATATACAGACATTACACAGAGAGCATACAAACACCAACAATATATACCCCCATTCCATCCCCATTTTTTTATTATATGAAACCGTCGCGATGCATCATTGACGATCGTCGGATGACAGGCAGACAGCCAACAGACAGAGAAGACTAAAGATCCGCGTTATAAACGAAGAAGCGAAAATAAGCGCGTAGCGAGTAAGTTTTAGCGATTAAAGAGAATCAATTAAGATAACACAAAAAAAAGAAAAAAACGTGTCGTGTGTATATATATATATATAAATATATATATATATATATATATATATATACACACACACGTACGCGCGTACGCACGGCGGTCGCGTGTACGCAGAAAACATATATGTATACATATTATACATACGGGAATATTATGTGTGTGAGAGCGAGGGTGGGTTTGTGAATTGCATTGTACGTCGTCCACGGTTCCTCCCCCCTACAAAAAAAAAGAAGAGAAAACGTTCCGCCGCGTGTTAAACCTGTTTTCAGGGTCGAGCATCCTCGCCAACATAGCAGACTTTATTTTTAACGTTACTTAAGATACAAAAGAGAGTGAGAATGGCCGAATAAAAAATAAATAAGGAGAGAGAGAGAGAGAGAGAAGAAGGGAGAATGTGTGTATGTGCGAGTGCATGTGCGAAAAAGAGTGAAAAAGAACGCGGAAGAGAGAGAGAGAGAGAGAGAGAGAGAGAGAGAGAGAGAGAGAGAGAGAGAGAGAGAGAGAGAGGAGAGAGAGAGAGAGAGAGGGAAAGAGAGAGAGAGAGAGAGAGAGAAAGAGAGGGAGAGATGGTCAGAGTGCTCGAGACCGAAGTTGCGAGGTTGAAATGCGTCGGCGTAACAATGAGATGCATCCGAGGTCGTGATTAAATGTATAATGCGCTGGACGATAAACACAGAGAGAGAGAGAGAGAGAGAGAGAGAGAGAGAGAGAGAGAGAGAGAGAGAGAGAGAGAGAGAGAGAGAGAGAGAGAGAGAGAGAGAAACGCGCGAGGGTGGCACGTGGAGACGGGAGACGAGAGGCGCGCACACTTGACTTTAAAACGTATCGATTAGGGACGACGAACGGTATCGAGAGGGGCATCGACGGTATCGGCACCGGAAACCTTCACGATAATCTGACACATGTAACGCGTTGTTAATGGATATTACGATAAATTAAGAATGGTATCGAGGGATTAATACGTGTAAATTAGACGACAGAAAGTATCCACATAGACGTATACCTACCACCAAAAATATATATAAATAAAAAAATATATATATACACGCAGACACCAAAACACATATACACAAATACACACACACACACACACACACATCCACACGTACGCACAAGTAACACGCACCCAACATACGATCGGTGGTGCGAGCCGAGGGTGTTTCTAAAGGGGACGTTATCTCGAGACGCTCCGCGACGAAGATTCCAGGGATGCTCCGCGCGTGTCCTGAGAAAATCAGCCCGTGGATATTTCGGGGATACTCGCGGAGGGAACACACGATACACGGGGGGACGGGGGCGAGAATATTCTGAAAATATTCTCCGAGGATCGGAATATTCTGAGGACATTCTGAAGATATCCTCCCGCCTCGCATCGCCGCCTTATACTTCCGCCGGACACACGCACCACGTATACTTGTAGAGAGAAAGGGAGGACGTGGACGTCGCGAGTGTCGATCTTTTCGGGGGAGCGCGCGAACGAGGACGTCCGCGGTTGGATTCTGCGAGACGCGTCTCCCGAGAGTAGGACAATAAAAGAAGAAGAAGAAAGAACAGATACGGTGGATCGCGCAAGTTCTTCCTCGACGTCGGCTTCCTCCTTTACGGCCAAGGATGGCGCCTCCGCGGTTTCCTCGAGGAATCCTCCAACCTTGGTATTTTACATGCGCACACCCGCGGACAGACTAAGCGGGAGTCACCAACCGCGAGCTTGCACCCTTCCCCGGGCGTTAGTCCCTACACGATCAAGGACGACGCCTCGAGCTACGCGCGGATCCCGCTGTAAAAATGCGTGGAGAAACCGACAGGATATCTCCGCGCTTCCGGCTTCCGATCGGCACATCAACGCGGACATCGACGAGTCGTGCGAAACTTCGTCCAAGGACGAACACTCCTGGACATGCCGGACCCGTTAAGTTATCGCTCGCTCGTGCCGATGCCGCTCACACGTCAGTCATCGAATTACTTTCTGCAACGATTGATTAAGCGACAGTCGAGGGAAACGAATTATAATACGCGTCCACAGGAGATCGTTCACGTCCTCGCTCGGCGCTCCGAGTCGACGACGGAAGAGGAGAAGAGTTCACTTGCCGATTAATGGAATTTGATAGTCTACCGATACTTGACACATTCGCGCACATACACATACATACATGTACACAACACACGCAACATTCTACACGTGTCTCGTACGACGTCGACTCGAACATTCGCGTTCCACGTTCCTGAAGCGCGTCTCTCACGACAGTGTAATATTTTAATATTATAATGTTATAATATTTATGCACGTGACGACAATACTGTCACGTATTACGGTATTGTAACAGTGTAATATTATTACAAGGATATTACAATACGTCGTTTTAAGACTAGAGATCGACGACCGTGTCACGAGTGCCGCGCGCAACACGACTACGAGACAGAGAAGCGAGAGCGAACGGGCGAGGAGGAAAGGAGAGAAAGAAAGAGGTCGAGGTTGTGGCAAATTCGCGGGCGATCGATCGCCGATTTGTGTATGCCGGCCGGTCGTTGACGTGATCGCGCGCGACGAAGCGCGGGACAACGATTTTCCGCGTTAATGCCTTTCGGAAAGGACGATCGCCACCTCTCTCTCCATCGCGTGGACGCGTGGGTCGCGTTGTAAGCCGAACATATTCGTGAGAGATCGCGTCAATTATTATATTTATTATTAGTATATATTTTCAATGAGAAGTGTGTAATTATACAGAGAGTATACAAATTATATCCCGGCGGACGGTATATCGTTGTACAGTGTGCATATAGTCGGTGACGAGGAGGAGAGCGCGAAGACGTGTTTGATCCTTTTCTTTTTTCGCGACGGGTCGCGCGAGTCCCATTCGTGACGTACACGAGTGACCTTTATATCGAATATCGCTGTAATATTGCTTCCATTTCTCGCGCTCTCGCGCGTCGCATGCGTGTTCGCAAACACACGGGTTCCTTGTGACTCGACGAGTCATTCGCGGACGAGGCATTCAGCCCTCTCTCTTTGTCTCGAAGACGATGTTGTCCTTTCGCGAATTGCATTAAGCGGCGAGACTCGAGCGCGATCGACTTCCGACCGAGGACGGAGCAAAGTCGAGATAACGCGGACTTCCGACTGGTTTTCGACTTGGTTTCCTCTCCGCCGTGTTTGTATCCTGTATTTCGCGCGCGTTTCCGGTTCTTCAAGTCGAAATTCTTCCCGCCGGCTCTAAGGGACGAAGATGCGGAGTTATTGTTTCCGAGAGAAAGAGAAGCGCGAGGAGACGAGATCGGTCTCGTCTTGCGGCTTCCTACGCGCTGAAAGGCCGATCGACCACTCGCCGGATTTAACCTGAAGCACGTGCGACAAGTCGGCCAGGTGAATGACGAGAGCTCTTTCTTTCCGTCCTTTCGTCCTCCCGCAAAACCGAGCATGCGAGACTTGGAAAGAGAAGGCCTGCCATCCCACGCCCGGAGATTCTCTCAGAAGGCAAAAATGTCAGCGAGAATTGAACTGTAAAATCGCGACATTTAAGAAGGACGATGTTAGTTCCTCGAAGAGTTACCTCGGCGGAAGACGCCCTTCCGTCGCGAGCGGGAGACCTCCTTCGAAGGAAAGAACGCCACGTCGGGATTTCCTTCTCCTTATTTATCGGAAACACGTGACGGGAGATTCACCACGACGAACGCGATGCCAAAATTGTCGCATAGCAATAATTAGTAGGATTAATACCAGACTGACTCACTAACACAAAGTGTTCAAGAGCGCGAGGGTTCGTCGAGTGACGTGAGTCCCTTCAGGGGACTCGTCACTGAATGCCGCCGCGTAATTAGTGAACCGGCAATCGCGGGACTACGATCGCTACGAACAAACACAATCGTGAACACACCGAAGAGGCACGCCGAAGACGCACACACGCACACACATATATACATAAACACGCAACGTGTGAATTCCGACGGTTATTCCACGTAAGAATTCACTGAGACGAGCGGTCGGTGCAACTTTGCAAACGCGTGAATTTAACGAATCCGGGGAGAGGGAGACGAAGCAGAGTCGTTTCACGTGGACGATGCGACGTAACGCTGCGATTTCACGCTTCGATTTTCGCGCTTTCGCGATTATTTCCGATAAGCAGCGCTTTCATCGATCCCTTCATTCAACGGCTCCATTGACCGCGTCGGATTTCCTTTCGCTTCGTATACAATTCGGCCGTGCGGAGATGATCGACGAGAGAAGGAGTCTTCGGTGACTCGAGGGCGCAGCTTTTGTTATACTCGCTGACATTAATTTTGAAATCGTTGATGCGAGGAGAGCGTAGGAGGATGGCGGGAACGAAACTTTCGACTATTAACGAACGCGTACACACACGCGCGTACTCGGGCAAAGATACAACTGATACACCCACGCACGCGACACACACACACACACACACATATACATACACACACACACACAAGATATATCTAATAAGGCATCGGTTAAGATCTGACAGCGAAAAAAAATAATAAGATACCTACTTACTAATTACTATAGACGAGAACACACGTGCAGATTTAAGGATTTATGGAGGACTTTCTGTTGCTCGAATATTATTGTGCATTGTCTACTATATATAAATTTTATTGTATAAATTCTGTCGAGGCGCGCCTCCGAGCGAGAGTCGATGTTTCTTTTTCTCCTCGACCCCCGTATCTTCCTGTCGCGGGATCTACGAGGCATTCGAAAGAGATAGATACGCGCATACACACACACACACACACATGTAGAGAAAGTAGAGAAGGTAGGGTGGAGGAAAGAAGGGGAGGAAAGTGCGTAATCACAATTGCGGGAAAACCCCTCCGTCCGCGGGAGATTCTACGATAAACGCGGAATCAGCTTATCCTCCGAGAGGAGAAGTCATCTTCGAATTATACGAGTTTTCGATTCGATTACCAACGTCGGATAATCTCGACGTCAATCTGAAGTTCCCACTAAGGAATCCGATTGTGACTTTATCGCGGGCAACGCGATGCAGGAAGACGCGCGGCGATTGTCTCCCACCTGCACATTCGGGGTACAGATGCTTTTCTCGATATCTATAATCCACGTATAGATATACGCAAAAGAAAGTGTCCGGTCACCGCCGCTTTATCGCAAACAGGTGTCATCTGCGCGCGGGATCGATCGAATTAACAAGTAAATAGCGCACCATTTTATCCTTATCTCGGCCGAGGTGCTCAAGAAATCTTCGTCGAATGAGAGAGATAAAGCGCGATGTAAAAACAATAGATGACACTATGGAACGAAGGTTAAAGGCTCTTTCGATCAGTGCTCTTTTTTAAGCAGGGAGGAAAACGTTTCTCCGTTCATCAGTTCTCTTTCCTTTTCGAGGCGACGCGCGATCGAACGCGCCATTTTTTCGCGCGTTCGGCGGATTTTCCGCACGCTTCACCTTCTCGCTTATTTACGCACTTTCCTCCGCGACACAACGCGCAAATGTGAGACAAGGAGGAAAATATCGAAAAGAAAGAAAAAAAAAACAAAAATCGAACAGGGTCGAGACACTCTAGCTCGGAGACGTATCCCAATAGTTGGCCTAGTACCATGTTTCATATTTTTCGCCCCCCAGGGTACGCAGTGGATCGTCGAACGATTGATCGTCTATTGTATGATTATTGACATTCTTCCAGAAATTTTATTGATAATATATAAACTTTATCGCTACCGTTGAACATAGTAATATTTGGGGGTATGATTAGGGCGATACCTTCGGTATTTATTGAGGGCACTGAGAATATATACTATATCGAAAGCGAAAGAGAGAGAGGAGAAAGAGAGAGAGAGAGAGAGAGAGAGAGAGTGAGAGAGAAAAAGAGAGAAAGGGAGAGAGTGCGTGAGTGTGTGAACGATAAATGAGTAAAAATGAAATGAGGGAGGCATGAAGAAGATCGAGAGAGAAAGAGAGAGAGAGAGAGAGAGAGAGAGAGAGAGAGAGAGAGAGAGAGAGAGAGAGAGAGAGAGAGAGAGAGAGAGAGAGAGAGAAAGAAAAAAAGAGAAAAGGAGAAAGAGGGAGAGAGACAACCCCGGAGGGTTGGTAGAATTATTATATATATCTTTTATATATATATATATATATATGTATACAAAAGATATATAAAAAAAGGGTTGGAAAGACATTTGCGTAAGAAACGGGGGCGGGTGATGAACGAAATGAAAAAGAGATAGCTGTGTATAGCAACGTAACGAGTTTTTCCGGTAGAGAAACGAAAGAAAATACAGGAGCGAAAAAAAGAAGGAGGAAGAGGAGCAGGAGACATTGTAGAGTCCTCTTCCTCTTTCGTGCGATGTAAAGAGAGTCGGGAGCAGCGAGAGAACCAAGGTTGAGATAATTAAATATTGTACGTATGCGAGCGTGGAAATATGGTACACGAGAGTAAAGACCCTTTACGTTTTCTCACTCATTACGTGAAACGGTACGTTAGTAATGGATATATTATGATTACGATGATTGCTATATTCGTTGTTATTGTTCCTCGGTTGTATGCGGAGACGTTTAAGAGTGATCCATTTGTACAATCATTGAGTCATTAAAATATGATTATTCATTATGGAAGCTATTCGCATTTTTTTCTCCCCTCGCTCATTCCCGATGTTTTTATATTCCCGACGAATGAAAAAAATAAAATCGCCCAATATTCTTAAGGTTCTTAAAATTGCATGTAAAAAGATCAGATCATGATCTGTGGTATGATACAGAAATGGATAAATCACATACCGAGATATGCAGAGATCTAAAGGCGCAGCGAAGAAACGGAGTCAGCCAGTCGAAGATGAATGTCCGCTACGAGATGATCGAAGAAACTGAAGCCCGGGATGTCCGTCTCGAAACGATAAATGCGGAAGAAAAATGAAAAGTCTGAAACAAAAACACGCCTGGATACTTTACTAAAAGTGACTCTCAAAATTGAAAATGATAAGAAGAATCAACGTTAAACATACAAAAAGCAAAAAAACAAATTATCGGTCATTTCTCTCAGCCGGATTTAAACGCTCGCATTTTGTTTTCCGAAATCCTGATGAAATAAATACTATTTGAACACGTGCAGCATGAATACACATATAGTTTTATCGCGTCAATTCATATCGATAACCCGCAGGTGTTCGATAATCCATCGATTTACTTGGTGAGTGATTAACGAGAGTTGAAAAATTGGAACGGTAAATTGATACACTTGAGTTCGTCTACGACCGATAAGTGTCCCATACATGCACGTGCGCACATTTATTATTCATTAAATTCACCTGGCTTCAACGAAGCGCAGCGTTTATTTTTTTATTTTCAGCAGAAAAATTCCTCATGCAATAAAATTTCTCACACAGGATATGCAATTTCTTAGTCGCGCATATGTATGTACATTATTTCCTCGATTAAAATATGAAATACGAATAAAGAGCGCAATATTCGTTATCGCTGTCATCCTCTCTCCGTCGTTGAACTTTCTGTCTACCTTGTCTAATCTGATCCTTAATAACTAATCAATATCGACTATCTTCAGTATCAAGCGATTATCGAATAACAATCTGTCGACGATAACAGGACACATTGGGATGCTCACCTGCGCGATACGACACTGAATGTCGTACGCACCAAGTAGTACTGATAAATTCGTCTGGATATCGAGATATACTGCCCGTCATTCGTGACGATTAAATCGAGCTTAATTTAGGAAGTGAACAGAAACGAGACGTTTCAGCAGTCGTTCGTCCGACGCGAGCGAAGAGCCGTTCTTCTCCACGAGCATCGCGACGCCGAGGTGTCTCAAACATCTTCGAGATTCGTGTCCGAAAATCCGACGAGTCGATCGCACGAAACCAACCCGTAAAGTGAAACTTAACGGGGTGCACTCGCGAAGCGAAGTGAATCAGATCGCGGTGCAATAGTGAAGAGATTACCGCGCTCGGCCGAAGAGAAATATACCATCATATGGATATATAATAACACACAATAAAATATTTATCGCGTTGGAAGGTGCGCGTATAATGCCGTCCGGTCCGAAATTCCAACCTGAACTGAGCGAAATCGCAGGCTTAACGGTATTCGGTGATTAACGGTATCAAGATCGGTTCACGGAACTGCAGCACATTCAGCCATTTGTAAGCTGAAGGAGATTATCATCGGGAGATATCATCGTGCGATTTAAAGACCACGACAAAACTTCATCGGTCTTGGAGTTCTCAATTGACAAGAGCGGTTCCCGCAGCCATGGGGTGTCCGCGAGTGCTCGGTCTCCTGTTCGCGCTGTGTTACGTTGTGATCCTGGCGGAAGGACGCGATACACTCACTTGCTCGTGGTACGGTGAGTGTGGAGAGTCGAGTAAAGGTTTACCGCGCACCTGCGTGTCGAACATCACCGCCCAGCTGATCAACAACGCGACCGCCAAGGACGTCCTGCTGAAAAGATGTCCTCATTTCTTCGAAAGCACCAAGGGTTCGTATCCCGAGGTCAATTGTCATCTGATTCGCGCCTGACGAGCGTGAGAGGGTCGTGAAACGAGGGGATTTGGTAAACACCAAGTAATAGTAATGTTACATTGATGTTATAATTTCACACTCAACGATGCGATTGTTACATACAACATGCGTTGTTATATCGCATTTGTACAAATATTGTTAAGAGAAATAAAATATCGACATAATATTACCGTCACTCGATGTTTACTGAGAAGCTTGTGACTCGGGTATAAGTACTTGGAACGCGCGATGTCTCCCGCAGAGCCGAAGACGTGCTGCGACGCCGGCCAGATCCTGACGATGAGCGGGAGCATGAAAATGGCCGAGGCGATTTTCGGCAGGTGTGCGACCTGCGTGAGGAACATGTTCCGGCTGATCTGCGATCTGACCTGCAGCCCTGAGCACAGTCGGTTCCTCAGGGTGACCAAGACCGCCAAAGACGACGAGTTCAAGTACGTCGACGAAGTCGAGGTGAACTCAACAAGCACATCTCTTGACTCCCGCGCAATCCCCGCGAAAGATTCAACCGTGCCACGAAAAAATCGATATCGAGGAGCGGGAAAACTTGCGCGTAGACAAGCTGAGCGCGCGGCAAGCTCGTTTTGAAGATCGATCGTAGAAGCGAAATTTCTAAAGTCACACTATTCAACCGAAGCGTTTGGCCCAACGTGTTCGCGATGGAAAATTCAGAACACGGTGCTGATCGATCGTACGCAGATCGCAGTGTTTCAATCTCTCCCGTGCTCCTCAGGTTCACGTGAAGGAAGCATTCATAAACGCAACGTACGACTCGTGCAAATACGTGGTGAACCCTGCCAGCGGTAATCTCGCGATGGACTTGGCCTGCGGCGATAAAGGCGCCAGTAGATGCACCCCAAAATTGTGAGTTTGATAGTGAATAATAACAGTATATAACGATAAAATACTAATAAATCCTAAATACTAATACTAAATAATATATTACTAATAATATCACTAATAATAAATACTAGAGTAAAAATAATAATATATTAGGGCTACCGAAAAGTCTTTTCATATTTTAAAGCCTTCAATTTTCATGGTTATAGTACGAGTTCTTAATTTTAATTTGTACATCAACCTTCTTCATATTAAGATCGAGCTTACTTTATTATTTTCATGCAAAGTTTTACAATAAAAACGAAAAGACTTTCCGGTATCCCTAACAAATCAGATATGTGAGTACGCGTGTGCGATTAGCGCGTTTAATATTACGCGCAGCAGGACACTGCCGCAGGGATCTCATACGATTCGCGCAATTTGCAAAGGTGGTATAAGTACATGGGTGATTACGAGAACAATGTCTTCACGCCCTTTCAAATGAATTACATCTACGACGTGGCCGAGGAATGGGGCGACGAGCCGTGGGAAGCGGAAACCAAGAAGTGCAACGAGTCCTACGACGTAAGTGTGAAAAACGGAAGATACGCAAAAAGCACTCGCGAGTGCGGCCTCGCGGCACGCTCAACGCTGAGTAAGTCCCAACGTCAAGCTTGTCCACTTTCCACTAGAAATCATCCATCGCCTGCAGCTGCGTCGACTGCCCCAGCGCGTGTCCCGTGACGAAGTTAAAAATCGACAAACCCCATTCCTTTTTGATCGGCAGCTTCAACGGCTTCAGCATCGTGGTATCAATACTGGTCCTCGTGGTGACGATCATCGCTTCCGTCAGCTTCTACTTCATGACGAAATATAACAGGAAAGGTACGAAGGGCGTAGAGGAGCGAAGAGGTAGAAGATCGTAGGAGATCGAACCTCGGGAAAGAGTTCTGCCTCGAAAATCTGCATTCCATTCAGCTCGACTCTTGAGATATCGCTCTTACTCTGTCCCGCCAAATATGTTATCACAATCGGCTATTGTTTCAATTGGCGTATCTTGCGACTAAGGCTGTCCGCTGTCGAGTCGGCCAATTCAGATCGCATAGATGCGTTATGCTGGGGTGGGCTTGGTTTCATCCCTGCTGCAAATGCAGAGACTACTCAGCCCGCACGCCACGACAAGTTGCCACCCTTTGTGCGGGTCCTCATCTGAATACTTTTGCACCCCTAGGTCTTATGAGGCAAACGATACAAACGGGCGGCAGAGGTTGCGGTCAAAGGTGCCAGAAGATCTTTCAGAAGTTCTTCTTTGTGTGGGGAAGAGGTACTTGCGTTTTTCCTCCTCTTATACTATATCTAAATAAAATGGAATCTTTGATGTCGTTTTTTCTTTTTTCTTTTTAATTTTGTAATATAAAAGGGATTTTTAAGAGTAAAAGGGAACTGATTGATATCTGAATCCGTTTCGAAGCGGAGACGCTGCTCTCGATAACGCTGACGTGTGAAATAAATATAACTCGCAGTGTTTGCCACGTATCCCATTATCGCCCTGTTCACGATCTCATATGTCATCGTCGGTCTGTCCTACGGCATCGGGTATCTCGCGGTGACGGTAAATCCAATCGAAATCTGGGCGGCACCGGACAGCAGGGCGCGGATGGAAAAAGATTATTACGACACTCGATTCCAGCCGTTTTACCGAACCGAGCAGATTTACATCAAGCCCGTCGGCCTCGATAAGGTAAGGTAGGATAATGTAAGAATGCGATGCAATCGAAACCGCAAATCGAAAAACGATGCATCGGTACATCGATTATGATAATTACAATTGTTGTGCGAGTTTAACATGTTCGCTATCAGCGTCGCAAGCGTGTGACAACACGGTCACTTTCCGGTCACACGCGTGTGACTTTGCTTTTTACATCTATTTAAACAAATCAAGAGAGATCTTATATTTAAGATCTTCTCCAAGCAAATCGCGATCGCGATAAAGGACGTGATAATATTCAAGAAAAAGTCGTACCTCCGATATCAAGATGAGAATCTTTTCTCGTACTTCGCGATAGATAAAGCACCACACTACGACCGGAGTCTTGGAGTTCGGTCCGGTGTTCAACAAGGACTTCCTGCTGGCCGTGTTCGAGCTGCAGAAGAAGGTTCTCCAATTGGGCCAGGAGACCGACGAAGGCCTGGAAAAGATCTGTTACGCTCCCGTACAGAGCGATTTCACCGGACCGGTCACCCTCGACCTGTGCACGGTGCAGAGCGTTTGGGGATACTTTCAGAACGACATCGACCTGTTCAACAATACCATCATCTCCGGGGAATACGTGGTGAATTACTTGGACCACTTGTACAGTTGCATGCAGTGAGTAATGGCTGATCTCTCGCCTCCGCGCCTTTTAAGTTCACCTGGGAAAAAAAGAATCCATTAGTGAAACCGGATTTCTTCTTCGCCTGGAAACCAGACGGAAATCTATATTGACAACTTTTTCCCGTCTATGATTCACAAACCTTCCGGTTGTGCTTTCTTCTCCGACGAGTTTCAAATTTGCGTAATATGTTGTTACACGTAGAGAAGTAAGCCGGACAATGTTCACGCAAAATAAATGTTCAAACTTACCGTGGGGTAAACCGCCGGGATCGAAAGGGCTGAACGACTGATCTTTAACACGACGAATCTGCTCGTAGAAACGCACTCAACCCGCGCTGCTTAGCGCCTTACAAGGGCCCGATAATACCCGCCATAACGATAGGAGGTTTCTTAAAGGAGGGCGAATTCCAATACGACTCGGATGATTACATCAAGGCGACGGGATTGACTTTGACCTTCCTGGTGAAAAACTCGCTCAAGCAAGAGAAGCTCGCGCCCGTCCTGAAATGGGAGCAACGGTACGCGAAAATCTCCGGCAAGGGTAGCCGAACCCTCGGTTTTCCGCGGTTAAAAATAACGCGTGCCACGGAGACTCGATGTGATTAAGTCGCGTGAATTTTTAGCTTCCTCGACTTCATGGCGAAGTGGGTGAACGATGGCCGACCCGAGTTCATGGATGTCGCTTACTCGACGGAGAGATCAATACAGGACGAGCTAGACAGAACTTCGAAGGCGGAAGTATGGACGATGGTCATCAGTTACCTCCTCATGTTCGTGTACATCTCCATCGCCCTCGGCAAAGTCCGACTCTCACTCGTTGGCTGTTTCGTAAGTATCCCCTTTTTTGACATCACGAAACGTCGTTAGACGCATAAATACGCATTCGGGCAATTCTTTGAATCTCCACCCCCGGAATTCACAGCACGAAATTTCACAGCAGAAATCTGACTTTCAGAGCGAGAGCAGAATCGTGCTGAGCGTCGGCGGGATCGTCATAGTCATAGCGTCGGTCGCGTGTTCGCTCGGCGTTTTCGGTTACATCGGCGTGCCGACCACTCTGCTCACGATAGAGGTACAATGCTCCGCAAGAAGCGGAATTTAACAACCAAACGTACATACTTGAGGAACACTCACGGGAAAGAAACGAACTTTCGCGTTGTAAAACGCGAGGACTGTTCCTCAAACGTGCCTCATCGTGGCTCATCATGATTAACGCACATTTCGTCGTTATTTGTATCGTCCAGGTGATTCCTTTCCTGGTATTGGCTGTCGGAGTCGACAACATATTCATCTTGGTGCAAAATTACCAGAGGAACCCTCGACATAACGATGAAACGATAGCGGAGCACCTCGGCAGGGTCCTGGCTGCAGTTGGACCCTCGATGCTACTTACCAGCATGTCCGAATTTTTCTGCTTCCTCATCGGTAACATGACATGAATTGAACGAAGAAAGAAAACCAGCACGAAGAAGCGGCTATCTGTGATGACAGACAATTAAAAATGTTTCAGGAGCGTTCTCCTCGATGCCGGCCGTCAACACCTTCGCCATGTATGCTTCGTTGTCGATTCTAATTAACTTCCTTCTCCAGATAACCGCTTTCATTGCCTTATTATCCCTCGACTCTGCGAGATATGAGGTAAATTACTCAAAGAGCTCATCAAACGGGCTGTTTAAGCGAGAGAGTGGAGTTCTCTTACAAAATAAAAATATGACAGTGTGAGTAAACGATCGATGTGCTGGTTTCCAGGAGAATCGTCTGGACGTGCTTTGCTGCGTTCGAACCGAGAAGAGCTTGAAGGTCGAAGATCGTCCAGGCCTGATCCACGTGCTTTTCGAACGTTACTACACGCCATTCTTGATGAAAACGCCGACCAGGGTGGTCGTTACGGTGATTTTCGTCGCCGTTTTGGTCACTCACGTCGCGGTCATCCCGGAGATCGAAATTGGACTGAATCAAAAGCTCTCGATGCCGGAGGATTCTTACGTGCTGAAGTACTTCCAGGTAAGAGTGTCATATCATTGACCAACTACGGTCAAAGTTCCATCCTGATCTGTTTTCTTTTCTGATTGGTTTGTGAGAATTCGGGAAATGCTTTCGTCGATAAAGATCATTAATGAAATCATGGCTGATCAATCAAGACACGTGGTTCTAACGAATATTGTACTCGCTTAGTATATGGAAGACCTTTTGTCGATGGGTCCGCCGGTGTATTTTGTGCTGACGGAGGGCTTGAACTACAGCAAGAGAGAAGTGCAAAACGTCATATGCGGCGGTCAAGGATGCAGGTCGGATTCTTTGTATACGCAAATCTACTCGGCGGCCAGTCAGTCCTCCATGTTAGTATCCCCAAGATTCTCGCTCTAAAAATACCACACGACATAAATAAAATTGAACACAAAATAACGGTTACCGATTTCCGCATTAAAATACCATCGCTGTAATAAACATCGCAATGATTTCCCCCGGGAAATGCTTTCGATTACTTCAAGTTCACGAGACACGGACGGTCGACCATAAAATACATTTCGAATAATTGCAGCTCATATTTATCTAAAGCGGCTTCATCTTGGATAGACGATTACCTCGACTGGTCGACCATCGACGAATGCTGCAAGTACTTCCCCTCCAACGGGTCGTTCTGTCCTCACGACAATGGCAAGTGTCGCGTGATGTCGCGCAGCATCAGTATACTTTCAACTTCCCAGCGCAATTATAATTATAATAACAATCGCTACAATAATAATTTTCAGACTGGTGTACCAACTGCGAGATTCCAACGATTAAATCTCGGCCGACCGAGTGGGGCTTCAGGAAGTACATACCTTATTTCCTGAGCGATATTCCCGACGGAGAGTGCGCTAAAGGTGGCAGGGCAGCTTACTTCGACGTGAGTCTCAATAATGTCAATCAGACGCAATTCTGACCAACGCGGACCGATAAAGATCACTTTTCGACCGTGCTGCATCAAATTATAATAAATAATTAAGATCAACGAAACTTTTCCCCGATAACGCGAGCGGAAGATAATCGAAACCTTGTCTCCCGGAATAGGCGCTGAATTATTACTATGACGAGTTTGGCTTGACAGACGTGGGCGATTCGTATTTCATGGGTTACCACACTCCGCTGAAAAAGTCATCCGATTGGTACGAATCGTTACGGAGCGCCAGGATAATCTCAGACAAGATCACAAACATGATCAACGACGCCAAACTGTCGAACCGGAAGGTCAAATTGTTCCCGTACAGGTAAGTACAGCAATTCCCGACTCCCCTCGAGTTATAATCTCTCCGAGTGATTCTCTCCCAATGATGCGACATTTCAGCGTGTTCTATGTGTTCTACGAGCAATATCTCACCATCTGGTACGAGACCTTGGTGTCGATAAGCCTGACCCTCGCCGTGATCTTCGTGGTGACACTGATTCTCACGGGCTTCTCGCTCTTCTCCGCCTTCGTGGTCGTGTTGACTGTGCTGATGATAGTGGTGAATCTGGGAGGTCTGATGTATTGGTGGAACATCAGTTTGAACGCAGTTTCCCTCGTAAATTTGGTCATGGTTCGTGTCGAAATTCTTTTGACGGCAAACTCGGACGTTGAGAAGGAACGACAAATAAGATGATTTAACACGATATGCAATTATCGCGCATTGATAACTACGTCCTATAATTGTATCAGGTAAAATCAGACTAGATAAGTCTGATTTTACCGTTTTTTCTTATCGTGTTGAAACTTGCCTAGTTTTCGCCTTTTTCGTTCTCTGACGAGAGGACGTCGCGCTATGAATTATATCTACTTAAATTACAATTTAAACTTCGTGCTGAAAATATTGACAATATTAAACCGCTGAACCGAAACATGGACGTTTTACAGGCGGCTGGTATCTCTGTAGAATTTTGCAGCCACATAGTACACACTTATATCACTTCCACGGCGACGTCGAGCCTCAGCAAAGCGTCGGCGACGCTTTCTATCATGGGAACTTCCGTAAGTCGTTCTTTAAGCGACCCCGATGAATAAGTACGACTCGAGTCCTCGAGAGAGAAATGTTGCATCAACTTGATATGTTAACTCTTTCTCGGGCGAGTGACAAAATGGTATTTATTCGTTGCCACTGTCACAGGTATTCTCGGGGATCACCCTGACCAAGTTCGTGGGGATAGTGGTGCTCGCATTCGCGAAATCGCAGATCTTCAAAGTATTCTACTTCAGGATGTATTTAGGAATCGTTCTATTCGGCGCGGCGCATGGTTTGATATTTTTGCCGGTGTTATTAAGTTTTATAGGTAAATAACACGCACATAAACATTGCGTTTCTCTCACCAATATTATACAAGTTGAGCGTAATCATAATTTTTACAATTATAGGACCTACGTAGGGATAGATCCTACAGGAAGATCCGTAACGAAGAACGCCACGGATACTTGGATCTGCAAATGCCATACGAAATGATTCGTAACGTGTATTCGCTTGAAGATCTATTAGTGCAATCGATTGCAGAAAAATATGTAAATAATTTATAATTAATTTGTAATGTGCAGGTCAATTTTATTTTAGTAGGAACAAAAGATTTGAATTATCTCGTGAGTCTATTGAGCCCCAACTTATGCATTGTTACGTTCACATATTCTTTAAATATTTTAGTGTAAGTACAGAGATCTATGTGATAGCTTTAACGCATAAAATTAAACGACCCTAAAACAGAGCGGATTTTTCAAGGAAAGTTATGGAATGGTATAACTTTATGCGTTAAGACTGTTATGTTGATCTGTATACAACATTAGACTAAACATACGATTCTCTCTGTACTGTGTAACAATCAAACGGTATCATACTGTGTGGACGTAATTGGCGCGAATCGATGTGTCATCGAACGCATCATCTTCATACATGTATCATAATACATATCCTTTACACAGAAATTTAATAATTTCTGATATCATTTTCATCTTTTTTTGTTTATAAGATTTGTTAGACGTTATATAGGGTCAGTATATCTCTCATATCTGATTATACTTCATTTATTATATTATATAACTAAATATTGATAACATTAACATAAATCAATCACTTCAAATGACAGTTAGGATTTTATGTTATCATAATTATTTGCAGTTTTACGCCAATTATGTGATATTTTATATATGGTTTCTCCCATAATAAAATTCTGGCTACGTATTGAAATGATTGACTCTCTAATTAAAGGTTAACTAAAGTCATTCGAGAGGAGCGATTTTCAATATAATATTTAATGTTTCAGCGCTGTACAAGAATGTACATGGATTTTATATTTGTATGGACTATAACTTGCTACATTCTTGTCGCACTCGTCTTTTTATAATGCGCGGATAATTTTTAAGTGAACTCAAAAAATATACTTTGTGAATGTAAATTTTAAGCATACATTAAAAAAAGTAGAAATAAAAATATTCTATTACTGTAGATACTAATTGACTATGTAGTACTAAGAATATTCGACTCGAACTACAGCTTAAAAGCCTCCGCGAAGTCGTAAGACTAAATGCAGCGTGGACTCCTTCTGGATGTTGTAGTCCGATAGAGTTCTGCCATCTTCCAACTGCTTGCCAGCAAAGATCAAACGTTGCTGATCCGGAGGAATTCCCTCTTTGTCCTGAATTTTGGCTTTTACATTCTCTATTGTGTCAGATGCTTCAACTTCGAGGGTGATGGTCTTACCCGTGAGGGTTTTTACGAAAATCTGCATTCCTCCTCGAAGACGCAGAACCAGATGAAGTGTGGACTCTTTCTGGATGTTATAGTCAGAAAGAGTTCTGCCGTCTTCTAATTGCTTTCCGGCGAAGATCAGACGTTGTTGATCCGGAGGAATTCCCTCTTTATCCTGGATTTTAGCTTTTACATTCTCTATTGTGTCAGATGCTTCAACCTCAAGAGTGATGGTCTTACCCGTGAGGGTTTTTACGAAAATCTGCATTCCTCCTCGAAGACGCAGAACCAGATGAAGTGTGGACTCTTTCTGGATGTTATAGTCAGAAAGAGTTCTGCCGTCTTCTAGTTGCTTGCCGGCGAAGATCAGACGTTGCTGATCAGGAGGAATACCTTCTTTGTCTTGTATTTTTGCCTTTACATTCTCTATTGTGTCAGACGCTTCAACCTCAAGAGTGATGGTCTTACCCGTGAGGGTTTTTACGAAAATCTGCATTCCTCCTCGAAGACGCAAAACCAGATGAAGTGTGGACTCCTTCTGGATGTTATAGTCAGAAAGAGTTCTGCCATCTTCTAGTTGCTTGCCGGCGAAGATCAGGCGTTGCTGATCAGGAGGAATACCTTCTTTGTCTTGTATTTTTGCCTTTACATTCTCTATTGTGTCAGACGCTTCAACCTCAAGAGTGATGGTCTTACCCGTGAGGGTTTTTACGAAAATCTGCATTCCTCCTCGAAGACGCAAAACCAGATGAAGTGTGGACTCCTTCTGGATGTTATAGTCAGAAAGAGTTCTGCCATCTTCTAGTTGCTTGCCGGCGAAGATCAGGCGTTGCTGATCAGGAGGAATACCTTCTTTGTCTTGTATTTTTGCCTTTACATTCTCTATTGTGTCAGACGCTTCAACCTCAAGAGTGATGGTCTTACCCGTGAGGGTTTTTACGAAAATCTGCATTCCTCCTCGAAGACGCAAAACCAGATGAAGTGTGGACTCCTTCTGGATGTTATAGTCAGAAAGAGTTCTGCCATCTTCTAGTTGCTTGCCGGCGAAGATCAGGCGTTGCTGATCAGGAGGAATACCTTCTTTGTCTTGTATTTTTGCCTTTACATTCTCTATTGTGTCAGACGCTTCAACCTCAAGAGTGATGGTCTTACCCGTGAGGGTTTTTACGAAAATCTGCATTCCTCCTCGAAGACGCAAAACCAGATGAAGTGTGGACTCCTTCTGGATGTTATAGTCAGAAAGAGTTCTGCCATCTTCTAGTTGCTTGCCGGCGAAGATCAGGCGTTGCTGATCAGGAGGAATACCTTCTTTGTCTTGTATTTTTGCCTTTACATTCTCTATTGTGTCAGACGCTTCAACCTCAAGAGTGATGGTCTTACCCGTGAGGGTTTTTACGAAAATCTGCATTCCTCCTCGAAGACGCAAAACCAGATGAAGTGTGGACTCCTTCTGGATGTTATAGTCAGAAAGAGTTCTGCCATCTTCTAGTTGCTTGCCGGCGAAGATCAGGCGTTGCTGATCAGGAGGAATACCTTCTTTGTCTTGTATTTTTGCCTTTACATTCTCTATTGTGTCAGACGCTTCAACCTCAAGAGTGATGGTCTTACCCGTGAGGGTTTTTACGAAAATCTGCATTCCTCCTCGAAGACGCAGAACCAGATGAAGTGTGGACTCCTTCTGGATATTATAGTCAGAAAGAGTTCTGCCATCTTCTAGTTGCTTGCCGGCAAAGATCAGACGTTGCTGATCCGGAGGAATTCCCTCTTTATCCTGGATTTTAGCTTTTACATTCTCTATTGTGTCAGATGCTTCAACTTCGAGGGTGATGGTCTTACCCGTGAGGGTTTTTACGAAAATCTGCATTCCTCCTCGAAGACGCAGAACCAGATGAAGTGTGGACTCTTTCTGGATGTTATAGTCAGAAAGAGTTCTGCCGTCTTCCAGTTGCTTGCCGGCAAAGATCAGACGTTGCTGATCTGGAGGAATTCCCTCTTTATCCTGAATCTTAGCCTTTACATTTTCTATTGTGTCAGAAGCTTCGACCTCAAGAGTGATGGTCTTGCCTGTGAGAGTCTTCACAAAGATTTGCATGTTTGATCTAAAACAAAATATTGACAATATTGTGACTAGAAACATTATATGAATTGTATTGTGTTGTCATGATATAAAATAGAATTGTTATTCCACAATAACATTGGGAAAAAGCAATGGCATTTGTTGGAAGGGACAAAGGAATGACATGAATATAAAACGGATTTTTCCGGTTAACTATCGTATATTGGATTGTGTTGAATTTCAAAATCAGCCTTCGTTAATCGTTTTATATTTTATCATAAATATAAAACCCGAAGCTTAAATTAATTATTACGTAATTAATAATTAATTACAAAGCTTACGGATAATCGATCGTACAGAACAAACAGGGATTTAGCAAAATGGAGGATGACGCCATGGAACGAAAGGATTTCTAATGGATACAACAGTAGATTTTCGCACACGGCCGTTCGTATAATTCCGTTGATTACTTACTTGATATCAAAACGACTTGTAAACTACCAAGAACCGCAATACAATTCAGGCAATTCGGCAAAAAAGACTGAGAAGACAAGCGGTCCAAACAACTGACAGTCACGGAAAGAGTCTACACACGAAGTGCGACGAATAAGAAGAACGACGTCATCGCTTCTTCCTCAACTATACGCGCCTGCGCTCTGTTCAGTTGCGCTATATCGAGTGGTCTGTTCTTTTTAGTTGCACTGCTGAACTGGTGCAAGAAGTTAGAGTGAGATAACTATATTTTTTATCACTCTACAAATTTATAGAATTTGTAAAAATAAAGAGTTCTTAATTTATCACTAAATAAGCTTAATAGCGATCTAATAATAATAATAATAATAATAATAATAAACTCATTTGCTTTGACGAAAGAGCAGATTGCTACGAACGTAGTTTCAAAGTCTCCGTTAGGAGCCTCCACCATTCTTAATGAAAAATTGAGATTATGGCACAATTGGTAGTTGATATTAGATATATTTTTTTATAAATCTATTCTTTATACTCGCACTGAATTATATTATAATTATCAAATTAAATGTTCACAATCTTTGTATTTTAAATCGTCCTGAGTTTATCTTAAGATGATTCACAGCCAATGAGAGACTTTTAGAATATCTTAAGATGAATTAGATACGATCTTAGGCGTATATCAGACTATAAATACTGCTTTATGTACTTAATAAGTTGAGAATCACATGCAATCTCATTTGAGTTTTGCAAGTGAGTAAGCAATTTCTAAACTTGATTTTCTATTATCTAAGATAGGTAAATTGCTTGTCAAGCATTGGACATAGAATGCATGCAGCACGAATTCTTCGTCAGTAACTACGGTACTCATCTCAATTGCAGCTACTCTGTGCTTTATGTGTTTATGTCGCACTTATGTGTATATTGAAATAACAAATACATGCCGAAATAGGTACACGGATACATACTGGACAGTATCGTACATAGTTGTCATCTTTCCGACGAGACCGGCAGTTCATAAACAATCATGAAGGACGAACTAATGGTGGTGATTTATGTGGCTACAGAAGAGGAAGAGTTTAATATCCCATTATCCTCCAATCTGAGCATAGAGGATTTATGTATTCAGGTATATGCGCATAACATTCTTATCTTCCTTTTAGATAGATAAATGTAGACGTTGCTCTCATAATACACCAAGAACGAACTGTTTTTAATTTGACAGCTTAAACTTTGTTATTAACTTAAACTTTGTTATTTGTTTCGATTGTTTGCGACCGATTAATCAACACATTGACATTGTTTTTCCATAAAATAACACGATTTGTTGCAAATGTTTCACAATCACTAGATAAACTGCAGCAATGTGTAACTTTCATCACAAAAAAATACTAATTAGAAATTTATGATTTGCATTGTATTCTTGAAAAGTACCAATGTTATTAATTAGCAATAATACTATAGTAATAATAAAATTTTACAATAGTATGTGCAAAATTTCATATTTATTAACTGATCTCTGTGTTATAATTTCTGAATTTTTGAGCGAACAAAAATATTAAGCCTTTCTCGCTTAATCTCGCTTAATAGGTATGCAGGAGACTTGGGATAGGTCCAATAGCAAAATATCTCTTTGCCTTGCAATGCCATTCTTCCAAACTGTGGTTTCCTTTTTGCCACAAACTTGACAAAAAGGGGAAATATAAGTTCAATTTTCGTTTGAGATTCAAGCCATCCAGTTTGCAGAGATTAAAACATATAGATAAACAAGCATACAATTATTATTTTCAACAAGCTCGTTCTGATGTAATGGATAATAAAGTACCTGATATTGTTTATGAAACACACAAAAAGGAATTAATTGGCCTAGGAGTCAGTGATATGTACAGGTAAGATACATATCCAACAAAAAGGATACATTTTTTTCATAGTTTCTATTTATCCAACCAAATTGCTCATTTCAACTAATCCTCCATAGATTTGTTTCAAGATAGATTTTGTTTCATGGAGGTTTAATATAATTTTAATCCATAATATTGTCTAACATTTTTCTTCTATGATAGGGTAATGCTCGAGAAACAATTGCCACGAGAAACTGTAGAATCAGATTATAAAAAATATATACCAAAAGAGTGTGTAAAAAGACATGCCTTCTTCATTAAGAAACCTATACGCAATGCATTGGGTCGATTATCTGGGCATAATGCATCTCATGTCAAGGAAGAATATCTGAAGCAATTTGAGTGCATGGCTCCCAACTACCCTTATGAGGAGTATAAAGCACTGATGGATAAACTGGGTCCTGATCCACCAGCTAAGGTCTTACTTAGGGTAAAAATCGAGGAAGTAAAGTTCTATGATACGGACAGCCGTGAATGGAATACACTTTGTGCAATAGAGGATCTTTGTTTCATTTCCATAGGGTAATATTAAATGTACAACACAAGATATTCTAACAAGATAACATTTTTTTCAGAATGTATCTTAATGTAATCTTGAAGCACGAATCAGTTATATCGAGCATACGCGAGAAAGAATGGAACCTGTATTTAGTTTAATCTGCACCTCCAGGCAAGCTAACAACGTGGAAGTTTCGAGGAAAAATGGCATACCTACATATTTAACATTTGACGACAACGCACATTTAATGTCCTTCGTGTCCGCGTTGGACGGGTATTACCGATTGTCCATTAAATGGACTTTCAATCTATGCAGCAGTGTTATCACGCCTACCTTGGATAGACTGCACAAGTTAAAGTGCCATGGTCCAGTCGGGTGAGACGATCTCTTCATGAAATGGCTATAGAGTCACGTGTTTACATGTTAAATAGGTAATAGTGCGAATAAATTCGCGAAATGTTTCAGGAGAGAATTCTCGTACGCCAAACTCAAGGAGAAACGTGCCAACAAAGCGGGAACTTACATACTGCGCGAGAGCGAGACCGAGTACGATGTTTACTACATCGATGTTTGCGGAGCAGATGGGAAAATATTAACGCAGAAAATAGAGCAGGTTGCATCTAACGAATTTGCGCTATCAAATAGCACAGAGAGGTACAAATCTCTGGGACATTTGATCTTTTCGTTTCAAGAGCCCGCCAGTGTTCTATACCTCGCAGAGTGCTTGCCACCTTCGGAATATGGTATACGCTCTTATCGATTTTACTACGCGGTTTTTATCGCATACAAGTTCAGCGTCACGATTGCTATACTCTGCTTCGAAATCATCGAAAGCTGACTTATCATCCATTGTATCATGTGAAATTCTTGTCTCACAGACGTATCGCCATTATTGATATGCGCCTCGGAAACAGTCGGGAACGAAGTAGCGGCGGACGAGGAAATAATCAGTAACATGTTGGAGGGCGGGCCACGGTGCGTTCAGTGGAAAGATTTGCAGATGTACAAAGCGTTCGTCAAGAGGGACGAGGATCTAGGTCGCAAATCGCCCACGAAACTGTACCACGCTATGTGGCGAATCGCTAAGGGCAAGAAACTCGAAGTCGCGATGAAGGTGCTCAAGAACGAAGAGAATAATTATACCAAAGAGTTCCTGGAACTAGCCGGCAAGTGGGGCCAATTGCGATCGGGTGCTTTGGTGAGGTAGATATGAAAACACGACTAACGATGGCAATACAAGTAACCTCATGGGGTAAATTGTAAATTAACGTATCGTTTTAACTGACTGTAGATTGTATGGCATAACTGTGGCGCCTACGATCGGTATGTTGCTCGAAAACGCGCAGATGGGTCCGTTAGACAAGTATCTACGTAGCAATCCTCCGCAAACTATAAAAACGGCCGACATGGTAGAAGCCACAACTTGTTTGGCGACGGCTCTGTGGCACTTGGTAAATTTGTCTAAACGCTAAGAGCAATTCCGAGTCTTGTCCTAAAGTTTATCCAGTTTATCGAACCTAAACCGAATCGCGTGTTCGCTTAGGAGGAGAATAACGTGGTGCACGGGAATATACGATGTAGGAAGCTGCTGGTGCACACTCACACCGCCAATAGTTTTATCGTTAAATTAACGGACCCCGGTATTTTTACTAATACAGAAGCCGAGTAAGTCAAGGGAGGATAAGTATCGTCTAATCATGTCAATTTTTTTCCCTTTCTCATTTTTTTTTTTCTTTCTAAAACTCTAATATGATATCTGGATTCTCTTTCCTCTCACACAGTCTACACTGGATACCGCCTGAATGTTATTCGAATCTAGAATCCGCGAAAGGCAACGCGCAAGCCGACATATGGGCGCTGGCTACGACTATTTGGGAAATATTTTCCAGGGGGCTTCCAATCTGGAAAATATCCCCACCCTTGTATCCCAACGCTAATATCGTCAAGAAGGTATATTCAAATTCTAACGCCTGTTACGATGTTACCTTACCTGCGACGTTTATTTCGCGTATAGATAACGCTTCACAATGTATTTTCATTCGTGTTCGACTGTACGATTGAATGGCGTTCTATTGCAGTTTTATGAATCCGGATACCGGTTACCCCAACCTGCGGGTTGTCCAAACAGCGTCTACAGGCTGATGCTGCAGTGCTGGGGCGAGAATAACACGTCGAGGAAACAACCTCAGGCAATCATGCGAGATATCAATCAGATTCTATATCAAGTGTACAATTCCCGTAGAACACACGCTTACGCCACGGCATTCCCTAAACTCTTCAAAGAAAATTACCGAATTCTCAAGAACAAGGATGACAACGATGACGACGTCGACGACGACGATGTCGAGGTCGACGATGTCGAAGATGTTGACGATAACAACGACGACCTCGACGAAGACGACGACGACGATGACGACAATGAAGATACGATAGGGAGCACGGAAAATGGCGGATCGCGAAGGAGTTCGAATTTCACGGAATATACCAACTTATCTTGCGGGGATACGGAGGATGGTGAGCTGATTTCAACTAATGGAAGCTACTGATCTTGTTCGTTTCTTAGCTTTATCTATTATTTCTTTCAATTGCTCTCGATCGAAAAAAATATATTAGTCGAGTGATAAAATGCACACGTGAATCTTCTTCTACGGAAATTTGCTCAACTTCATTAATTACGCGCGATCTCTCCTCTCGTTTTAATTATGATGATTATTCAAGCGGAGACTAAGATTGAGAAACTGCTTTTAGCCACTTCGAGTACGAAGACTTTCTTCATCCCTATCGACTATACAAAGGATTTATCATCCTACCTGGACTTGCTGTTGCGCACAATGCGCGGTGGGACTAAGAAGCATAGCAAGAATCGTGTTCTTCGTATGAATCGGGAAAGTAGCATCAGCGACATGATACACTTGGAGAACGGAAGTAACAACGGCAGCATCGTCTACGAATGCTCTCCGAGCCAAATGCAGGATGTCTTCGAGCTAGACGCGGAGTGCAATGTAATCCTGCAAGGACTCATCGGTCAAGGTTTTTACGGCGAGGTGTACAAAGGTGCGATCGAGAGGGAAAATAGCAAGGACGAGCCGCAGCTGGTGGCCATCAAGAAGCTCAAAACGCGCTCCATGGACACAGGTCAGCGCGACTTCGAGAGGGAAATTTCGATTATGAAGGTGAGACTGAAAAAAATCGTCTTGAAAATCGAGCGACATTTCTTTTTCGAAACACGTTACTCGGGACTTTCGAAAAATTCCCTCTTCTATAGATTATAGAAAAGGTTATGAAAAAGACTGTGTCTACTTCGCCAGTTTTAGTTATGGAAACATTAAAATATTTTGATACTTTAAGAGCGTCGTCTCACGAGATCTCCCGTTAAGCACAACTCTAAATTTCGTTCATTGATTATTAAAATATTAGACAATCATTATCTTGATGATCAATGCGTATTGCGGCTCATATAAAAAGAATCTTCTACGTTACTTGAGGATTAATCGCGTAATACTGTTGGTATCACGTAATTACACGTAACGAGTAACAAGTTAATTGCCATGTGCGTAACCGTCCCTCTTTCGTATGTTTCACAGACCCTCGCGCATCCGAATATCGTGCAAATCCTGGCGGTTTTGTCGGACCCGGAACCGTGCCTGGTCATGGAATTCGTCAAGCACGGTTCGCTGCAGAGTTACTTGGCGATTAACCGGCACAGTCTCACGCACAACAGACTACTGAATTTCGCCCACGATATCGCCACAGGCATGGATTATCTCGGTAACATGAATATCGTTCATCGAGATCTCGCAGCAAGAAACATTTTAGTAGCGGACGAGAACCGAGTAAAGATCAGCGACTTCGGTCTCGCGCAAGTGATGGGCAACAACGAGTATTACATACTACAGACCAACCGCGATCTTCCGATAAAATGGTAAATGTCGCAAGAGTATTCATTGATTATTCTTCGTCGTGGAGAATATCGATAACGGTATGAACTCGTCTCGACAAAGGCGATCTTTCTTCTTGCATTTCCGAGATCGATCGTAATCGTCAAGATGAGCTTTATAATCTCGAACTTTCTCTACGGAATACACTCGGTTGCAAAACAGTTTAGGTACAATGAGCTTCAGAGCACAACTGATGGTCTAACAAGAGAACGAATCAGTCAAAAATAAGTTCTCTCATTGGACTATCAGCTGTATTATAAAGTGCATCGTTCATTGCGTTTAAGTCGTTTTGCCTCCTGTTACATAACGCATCAACTGTTACTTATTACTATAAAGTCTCATCAACGCTGAGTCTAAAGTCTACTCACCACTTTCTCAGGTACGCACCGGAGAGTCTTAGGGACGGTAAATTCTCGACCCGTTCGGACGTGTGGTCGTTTGGCGTAACGATGTACGAAATCTTCAGTTTGGGCGAGGACCCGAAACTGCCGGGGTTCCAACAGAAACGCACAGACGACAGTCGCAACGTCGATGACCCAGAGGAAGGCAGTAGCGCCGAGTTGTTGATCGCATTGGAACAAGGCGCCCGTCTTCCTTGCCCGCCTAAGTGCCCACAAGCAGTGTACGTGAAGCTGATGTACCCCTGCTGGAATCTACAGAGCCAACTGAGGCCTAAGTTTTCCACGTTGTGTCAGGATATTCAGCAGCTCTTTAGCGAGTATTGAAGTGTCCTCTCGTCGTTGCGGGTCACCCTGTTGGCAAAAATATAGACTGGCTACCCCACTACACTTATCCACTCCTGTCCTTCATTTTAATAGTTTGACGAGTTTATGAAGCTCAACACAGCTTCGTAAACGAGCTTCATCGGGACCTCTCTCTTGCACCTCGCACCATTTGATACTAGATATATATCGAACTTCAAATTACCTTTTACGATCGCAACGCCTTCCGACACAAGGTATATATCGATAATCGAGACTACGAATGCGAACGGTTAGAATTTGAGAAAAGAATCCGTTTAAGCAGAGACACGAAAACCAAGATTTCCTTACCCAACCCTTGTCCTGGACGGTCAATTTGCAAACGGCTTGCCGCGTATATGTATTTTGTTAATTTTTTATCCCTCGACCATACCCCGAGGTGAGAGAACCTCTCACCCGACCGAAAAGCAATCGAGGAATCAATGTAATTCAAAAGCGCGATATCGAACACGCATCTCCCATAGCAAAGGTGTATCTAGTCGACTATCGTGTCGCTACTTTATTATTCTACGATGTGAAATAAACGGCCGCAATATTTTTTCAACTTGTAGCTTCCCTTATTAGCCATTATTAGCCCTTAGTAGCCACCCTCGCAATTTTGCGACCAATTTTGAGAATAGGCCTTCGAGTGTTTTGCCGAAGTAATCGTGCGACGTGAGGTAAGTAATTGCTGTTCGCGGAATTGCTGCAGCGGATGTTTTCTTTCTCATGTTATTATCCGCGAATTGTATACGCGCCGTCGATCGATCCCCTCGACGCGTCTAACATTTTCTCCCTTCCCTCTTTAAATGCATGCGTTTTTCCTCGATAATAACGTCGCTTGGTAATGTCGCGAAGGCGCGAAAAAAGAATACGACAGGTGTGAATAATCAAACGGACCCTAAACAAAGGGTCAGTTGAGTACACGTGAGGAAGTTCCGAATGCGTTTACGACCTGTCGCTACCGCGGTCAGTCTGTCCGTGTCCTTCAAAGTAAATGGAACATTTCGAAAAACGTTACTGTAAGCTGTACCAATTTTCCCTGACGGTCAGCGGACTATGCCCTTATCAGAGCATAAGGAAAGCTCGTATGATAAGGGCTTTTATTACCATCTTGATACTGTCGTCCGTGTTTGTTCAGGTAATCGCGGAATTTTGATAAACGTGTTTTATTCACCATCAGATTGTTACCTTATTCGTCGAGTGACATTGCTGCTTGATCGCGAAATAAACATTTTTTTATAGTGCACGTTATTTTAATAAAAATTGCGATTGAGCCATTTCATTCTTTGATGTCTTGGATGTTTTATCAGCCTTTTTCATTGGTCATATAGAAATGACAATAGATTGATAGAATTAATGTAGGTGTTACGAATAATTTTAATCGAGATTACCTCGAATACTTTGCCTCGCAAGTATCGTGATGCATACAGAACTGGTGAGGCAACACGAACAGTAGAAAGTGATTAAAATTATAATTTTTACATAATCATGTACATTGAAAGCTACTGCAATTAGATTTTCCTTGACTAACAGTAAAGTGTTACAATTGTTTTTTTCTCAGTTGATGAGCATTTTTACATCAAAGTTTACGATGGATTTCTTCATTATTATAATACCAGCGTTCATACCTACATTGGGTACATTGATTCATTTGTACATGCGCGCCATGCGGATGGATGAAGTAAGTCCGATCTGTATACTTTTCAAAATGTTCGTTGAATCAAAAGACTGAAATTGATTTTATGCTTTTCCCAAATAACATATTTTGATAAATTGGTATTTTCTAAGACAAAGATGTTACTAACATCATTAGCAAATATTATATGAGCAGTTGGGGTTCATGAATAATTTGTTTTCCGAACGTAATAAAATTAAATTTAATTTAACAAGTTTAAGACTCAACCAAACGTTTTGATCGAACCAAGATTTGCCGTCTACGCGTATTACTTTTCTCATTTCCATAATGCATTTTCTCGCGTCATTTACACGTGGTTTGCTCTAACGTTTAGCTTAAAGGAATGTTCGACCGTATAAGGGACGACTGGGCATTGCAAAAGACAGACGACGAGGTAAAAATCATGTACAACAGTGCTGCAACTTCGAGATTATTCACGTGTTTTTTCATGCGTAAGGGAAATGTTAGATTTCGTTTTACCTACAAGAGAAAAATATGCGCATATGCTCCGTTCGTAAGATCGAAACTGTATTTTCGCGTGTGAGAAATAATGACACCTTCTTCATTATCAACGTCGCATGTATCACTCTCAAAGAACAACACGGAATATTTCTGCCAGCGAATCACATTTTCATGATTTCACCTTTATAATACATTCATTATAATCGGTATCATTAAATCGAATTGGTGTGAAATTTCCTACGGGTGATTTTTCATTTAACTCAGTGCCGAAATAATTTACTCCCGATTCGCTTCTCCTTCAATTTTCCTCATATTTTTATCATACTCGGTGCTAATTTCTCGATGTATATATTTTTTAAATATTTTAAGTAATTGTAAGTAAGATGTAAAAGTAAGCAAGATGTGTTACATCGCGCATATTAATATTATCAAGTCGAATTTTCGCAGTTTACAATTAGATACATGAAATGAAGAAATAAGGTCTGTAAGTACCGATAATTGAATTTACTTTTTCATATCACTTATGTTCTCGTACTTACTCCAATCCGATTGGTATTTCTTGAACGTGCTGCCATCTAAGAACTTCCTTGAAGAAATTAAGAATCGATAAATTCCTGCTTATTTTCGAAATGGGCCGCGTTCAGCAGAAAAAGCTGCTTACTAAGCGCTTAGTGATTATCGTTTCTGATTGGTTCATTCCCCTAGATTTGTTAAAGATCTAAAAGAATACTCCAATCATAGTTAATAATCACTAAGCGCTTAGTAAGCAGCATTTTTTGCTGAACGCGGCCATTGACTAATTTTTACGATGACATATTCGAAATAAAAAAGAAAGAAAATGCTCGATAGCTTCAATATTAACACCTGATTTTGGAAATCGAACACTAAGAGTTCCGGCACAAAAGCGCATTTTTTCATATCCTTCAAAGTTATTCTGAAAAATACACATATATATACACAATGTACATTTCTGTTAGGAAATTTACGTTTCTTACAAATTTTTCAGTTCAGATATACGGCAGTGTCCTGGTTTATTCGATATACTTGTACATGCCGGACATTCTTGACATTGTATCGCCTATGAACGAGTCTCGTTCGCGAAAGCAGTATTTTAAACTTGAATATCTTGTCCCTGAGGAGCAACATGTTTTCTTCTATCGGATGCACATAATCTTCGTGATGGTTTTCATCGCGACAATTTTCTTTGCCAATATTGTCCAATTTGTAACTCTCGCGCAACACGTTTGCGGGATGTGCGAATTGTTGGGGTAAGAAATTGCTCCTTGCACTTGATTGCTATTTGCGAAGAAGCAGACGACTCATGAATTCCGTCAATGAATAAGAGAATTTATCCAGTAGTTATTCTCTCGAGTACACGCGTACGCGATCATGGCGAATTAACATTTTCAAGTCTTTCGACTTTTCGTCTTCTGGTTTCTCGCGAAAATGGTGATCAACTGACTCTGCTCTCCTCACGTTTATCGCGAGAGAAATATCGTTCGAGTGGACTCGACCGGTACGGTAAGAGTAATACTGATAATTTCGACAGGTATCGCGCGGAGCGCTTATTTTGCGTCGTCGAGAGTACGACGGGACGCGATTTAGGTCGCAGCAAAAAATTAATTTACAGGAACACGGCCATTTTTATACAACTGCATCATAACACCATACAGTTCGTACTTGTATTCGACATACGCGTGTTATCTTACGCGTGTTAGCTACCAATGCGGCACTGTTGTTTCCTCCTTTTTTATGAACGATCTGTGTGATGCAGCAGCTTAAACGTTGTCGCGAGCGAGCGAAGTAAAAAAATGGAATCTCGTTAACATTAAGTTAAATTAACATTACATTTCTCCCACTGTTAGTTCAAAGTCATAAAAACACGCCCATAAACGAAGTGCCGCATTATTTTGTGAGATATTAAATTACCTGAAGGCAAGTAAATCGCATTTAAGTCACGACCCGCGACTATTAACGTACACGATCATTTTTCACGTTGCAAGATTCGTTGGTACAATCGAACGTTTTTATACCATTCCGTTTCTATTGGACTTCTTAGGAGTAGTGATTACACTGAGCCTTACGTTATCGCAGGTACGTTGATAGCGGGATCGCGTCTCTAAGCTTAATCGATGTGTCGAAACGAGAGATCTTTCAGGTAGTCTCCAATGACGTGGAGCAACTCGTTAGATCTATGTGTCTCACCAACATGCAAATATCCTATATCACCTTGAGTAATTATATGGGTCAACAGATTATAGACAAGAGCTCGAATATATATGACAAAGTGTGAGTATAGTGTACGTCGGTGAGTATAGTGTACAACTATTCGTCGCTCATTATTAGAAATATTCACGATGTACGTTCCATGTCGCGATACCTAATCGACTTCCTCGATTCGTTTTAAATACCTTCTCTATTTTTCGCCTACCGTTTTCGATTCCATCGAACGTGAAATAAAAATCACATCGCGCCGTTAGGTACAACAGCGAGTGGTACAACGCGATAGTCTCACAGCAAAAACCACTGTTGCTAATAATGAGACAACGCTTCCTGCCGCTCGTCATCACCAGCTGTAAGTTTTACGTCATGTCCTTAGCGAATTTAGGAAAGGTAAGTGAGGAGAACGCGTGTGACACGCACAATAATCGCAACATAGCCGTACGACGAGCAAAGGATGTTCCGTCTTTTTAAGATATTTCAGATGACGGCCTCCTATTGCATGTTTATCAGACAAGTCTAAGGACAACCCTGTTGCGTGTAAAAGCGACATTGGACACGCGAGAAAACCATTGGCGTGTCATTCTCACTTTCAGCGACGCGTTGAATGTATGCTGTGTACGCGACGAGAAAGAGTCGTCGTCGTCGTCGTCTGCGCGTTTGGCAGGTGAGTAAATGCCCGCGGTATGAATGCGAAATGTAATGAATGAGGAATTTCAATACGCGATGCATACTGAAGCGGCGCGTAAACCTGTTCTAGAATGTGATAATGCGGCAAAACACTCGGCAAGACGGCGTGAACGAGAGATGAAGACCGACGAAAACGCAGGGACGAGAGCTCGCTGAAGTGTCATGCAATTAGTGTTCCAGTAATAAAGTAGTTTATCAAATTATACAGGAATTGCGCGAAATCTGCGCATAATTTTTCTTATCGACGATCATTCAGAAACGCACGCGTGTGTGTGTGTGTGTGTGTATATGTGTATGTATGTGACGATCGAATGCCGTAAATCGATCCAATAAGTACTATTTGTTCGCCTTTTTTCTGTTACATTTTCAGTATCGATTCACAGACGTCATAAATGACGTCGTGATTTGCATTGCCACAATGATGTTCGTGAATTCGGAAAAGCGAATTGCGTTCTACTTGCAAACAAAACAGCGCGAGGTTGCGGCGTGTATGTACAACATCGTTCACGAGTCAAGTGTCGGCGGTGAAGCTCAGCAACGCTTCGCGATGCATCGTATCGCCGAAAAGTCGATCGTAAGTCGCGAGGTGACGTTTGTGGAAGCCGGTTTAATATAATTAATGAAGGGACACGCGCGAGAGCAAAAATGCGCGCGCGCGCGCGCGCGAGAGAGAGAGAGAACGAGATCTCGTCCCCTCGATTTTCCTTGCCACCGCCCCCGCCCCCATTCTTTATCCTTGGAGGAAATAAAACCAGAGTTGTAAGAGCCGGATGATTAATATCCAGCCGACAGTTTGTGAAGCGGGCAGCCAATAAACGGGATAAAAATACTCGTGAAAAATAGCGCGCTCATTAGGGGTACAGTGACATCTGCGACTGCCTGCCTCGAGTGCTCGCGGAGGAACCCGGGAAGGCGGGTCGAGGAGGTCGGTGGGGTGAACAGGCAAAGAGTGAAGAGGAGAAAAGAGAAGGAGAGACGGTGGAAGGGGTCCGCGAGAACGGAGAGCACTGGAAAACGGAGGGACAGATTTATTAAAGTAATGGCAGATTATTTTAATATTCCGATGGGAGTGCGCTCCATTCGTTGTCTCGCGCAATTCAATAATCCGCGCTTAGACGCGATCCTTCTCCTCGGCCGGTGCGTCATTATTTCGAGACCGGCTCTCGGTCGTCGCGAGGATCTCGCTCTCTCGCTGTATGTAAAAAATAAAACCGCAGCGATTATGGAACCGGCGCGGATTTACGCGAGAAGGACGTATTAGCGGTTGTAAACAACGTCGTATCTTCTCCGCTTTGCACTTTGACATTTCGTCTCTCGTTCCTTACGGCGATTCGCATTCATACCTCAGCTACATCGCTAAATGCGCGCGATGTGCGCGTTCGGGCTGGTCTATGTAATATCGAGACGAGAGTTTCGCCGGGAGTTGAGAAGGAGTCTCGTTTCCTGTTTATTTGTGGTTCGAAGTAGCTCGAGCTAAATTTTTGCCGAAAACAGAGCGCATATAGCACAGCTGTTGGCTTATGAAAGCTGTAAGTGTCTTGCTGCCAAAGCAGCGATATCCGAGTAATCGATTCGACCAATACTCACACGTATATTTTTCTCTCTTCCTTTCTCTCTCTCTCTCTCTCTCTCTCTCTCTCTCTCTCTCTGGTACATAAAAAAATAAAAATGAAACATACATTCCGTACGCGCACGCATGCACGTACGCGCGAGTGTCATATGACGGTAAAGAAAAGATTGCACGATAAAAAATACATTAAAGACATGCACGAGACGAATGGAGGGTAGGAGGTAAGGCAGGATAATTATGACAGTGGGGTGAATGAGACAGTGCAGTATCTTCTAATGATAAAATCGATAGTCATCACGAGGTCGTTAAGAAATAAAAGCGATTAATCAAATGCTCATCATGAAATTATTAAAAAAGAATGACTGTGAAATTTATCACCGACGGCAGGAGAGAGAAAGAGAAAGAGACGGTATCGCAGTCACTCCCACTGCGCGATTACGTTGATTAATTCCAAGTGTACAATTAATCCATTACGACAGACTAATTCCGAGAGAAATGGCGATTTTTTTTTTACGGAGAGGAAGATAGGAAAGACCGAGATTAGCGATGTTGATGCACGGCCAGTACCAAGGCCGAAGTCGAATCAACCGGATATTTATCAGATATTCGAGTACTCGTTATTTTCTAAGAATAACAGGATTAGTAGATACGGTGTGTGACTTTTGCTGCCAATTGTCCGGTTAGCTAGCTGGTTACTACGGATGTTACCGGAATGACGGAATTTAAGCATCGCAACTTTGAATGACGAATAGGCAGCTGGGAGCAAAAATTAACAAGTTTATATACGGACGTCGCGAGTCGAGATGCGCACGGAAATAATTTCCATCTTGGCATTACTCCGCACACATGGCAAGCTTTCATTTCGCAGTATCGTTGCGCGAATCGAGAAAGAGGAGCTTATTTTCTCATTGGATTTTCTCTCGGCCCTCTTGGCACCGAGAGCCCATCCGGTGAGTGCACCGGAAAACGCTATTATCGATACTGACGGTGAAACACAACCTCAAAGAAATACGCTACTCTTGTTAGTTATGAGATCAGCTCTCGAACTATCTCCGGAGGTTTACGCGAGACGATACGTCGCAATTACCCATTCCAGCTTAGCATAACTTACAATGGATACGTCGATCGCAACCATCATAGCGCTGATATACGACGTCCGGTCGTCGCGCGAAATCACGCGCCACAAAGTGACGCGATTGCATCTTTCTTGTTTCTTTTTCGTTCGTTTGTTTGTTTGCCCGTTATCTTTTTTCTTTCTCTCTCTTTTTTTTTTTATTTCCAATCAAACGACACGCGATCCGATCGACCGTTCGATCGCGACATTGTACTCGGAATCGGACGGCATAATCTTGACGTATATTTTTCCGCCGGTGGCCGGTGGCCGGCGCGCGGCGCGCGGCGATATTCGTTAGGGGCCATTTTTAAAAATTAAACGTCCCACTTTATCGTTACGCGCGGCGATTAATAATAACGGGCGCGATCGGGCGCGCGGGCGAGCGAGCGAGCGGTATCTTCCATAACCTTTCCGGGGTATAAATCTGCGAAATTCTGGAATTATCAGGCGGCGGGGCATGAAAGGCTATTTCCGTCGCGCGGAATCGCGGGCAATATTTTACCGCCCGGGATTGGGGTTGAACGCGGGACACATCGACGTTTGATATTTTTATGCAGTGGCGCCACCGCGACGAGATTTACGAGGCAGATATGCGATCACAAAATGTCCAACACTAAATCAAACATGTTGCATCGGAAAACATCCGAAATTATTATTGGGACTTTTATTGGATCGACGGGAATGAAATAAACGTGTGACGTAACTTTATATTCTTTCTCTTCCTCCACCTCCTCCTCCTCCTCCTCCACCTCCTCCTTCGCCTCTTACTCTACCCTTCCGTACCCCTTCGCCCGCAAGCCCGTCTTTCTTTCAATGCCCTTCCATCGCACGTATGCGCTCGCGCCAGTTTTATCCGCTCTCCCGCGGAATAAAAGGCTAACTTTATGATTGATTCACCTTTTTTACGAGTCTTTTTTCGTCGTACGTCAGTGCCGAATGCGATGGATGAATCCTACGTCGTCCATCGACATCGCGCCGTCTCGTTTCTCCAATTGGAGCGCGCGACTGCGGGAGGAAGCACGGAATCCGCAAGCGATTCGGTCCAATTGATTCGCGCGAGAGCGCGCGACGAGACGCGCGCGTTGCTTCAAATTAAAACGCTCTCCTATACTCCATACGTCGTTTTATTTTAAACGCGGAACCCACGAACGATTCTTCTCGGGCTTCCATCGCGGGAGAAGAAGCGGAGGGGAGGAGAAGGGACAGGAGAGAGGAGAGCAGCTCGAGGAAACGGGTCAGCTCGGGGAATCAAGTTGGGGCCGCGAAAGGATTCAATGAGAGCCGAGAGGACATCGCGGCATACTGTCGCGCGTCCGCGCGCTCAACCGCTGCTCCTCCCCGCGCTCAAGATCGCAGAATCGCGGTCGGCTGTTATTAATCGCGTTATTAATCGATTTGACGTCCGCTGGTAATGCAGCGCCGCGAACGAGAGACAGAGAGGTACGCTGCCCTCCCCCTCCCCAATCGGCCCCCCCTGCCGCATGTGTGTCTATCTTTTATTGATGCGGCCGGCGCTGGGACTGGCGCCGGCGTCCGACGCGCCTCGTAATTGAAGGGACGCCCTTTAACTGAATTTCAAACGATCGCATTGTTAGCTTGCGTTTGCGATTGCGCGGGCCGCGCGAACGCGCCGCGACGTCTTCCGTCGACGGACGGCGACGAGATACGCGCGACCGACTCCGCGTAATTTCATTTCACCCTCCTCCCTTTGCTCCATCTCTCCTCCCTCGCCGATGACAGATATCGCGCTTCGCCGCGGGATCATTTGTTACAGGGGACGTGGAGCGAAAGCGGCTCCCGGTGTTCAGTCCTGTGTCTGCTAATTAAGAGACGCCAGTAATGACAATGAAATCTACGAAAACGCACCAATAGCGCGACGATCTCGAATATCGGGGGGCAGCTCGCGGCCTCTCGTAGCGAACTCTCGTGAATCTTCCTCCCTCTCTCTGTTTCTTTTTTTTTTTTTACAGAACACGACACGTTCATCGTGGATCGAGCGACGCCAAAGTGGTGCATGACGCATAACACTGCGAGAGGACGTGGAGGACGCATTCGTACTTACGCTCAAACGTCGCGATATAGGAACGGAAGTAGTCACCCAGTTGCCGGGGATCTTCTGGAATGAGGCGATATATCGCGGTTATTGTCCATTAGGAGAGCCCGAGGTGGCCATCCACGCCACGAACTTACTTTACGACATCGCTCTCCCACCTTCTTGCGCCGACTCACCGCTCTCTCGTTCTCTCTCCCTCTCTCTTTCACTTGCGCTCACTTTCCCTCTCTCT